ATAGATAGAGAGAGAGAGAGAGACAGAGACAGAGAGAGAGACAGACACATAGAGAAGGATGGAGAGAGGGAGGGAGGGAGGGAGGGAGGGAGGGAGTGGGAGACAGAGAGAGGGGGGGACAGAGAGGGAGGGAGAGAGGGAGACAGACAGAGGGAGGGAGAGAGAGAGAGGGGGGCACCACCTCACTTTGCCTAGCTTATGGCTCAACATTGTTCTCTGTCCAGAGGGTGACAAACCTCCCCCCAACAAGCTGGACCCTTTGCACAGCCAGGCAGCCCCTCCCCTCCGCATTCCTACCTTTCTGCCCCCCCAGGGCCCTGGGCTCAAAGTTCCAAGACGCTCCCCTGCAGTTGCCTCTCCTGGTGGCCTTTGGTTTGCTGGGGAAGAGCCGTGTGGCGACGCCAGTGTCAGCAGCAGCCGCCTCCACAGGTGAACCTTATGAAGGGGAGGGGCAAGGAGGAAGGGAGCCAATGGCCTGGGCAGGAGACCAGCTCAAAGATCTTGGACTTCACGCCCTGCTTCTGGGGCTGCGCCTCACAGGGAAAGGCCAGAAGGGCAGCTCCACGTGGGGTTTGGGGCAGATTGAAACAGGCAGACTAAGCCCTTTGAGGCGTCTGGAGGAGCATCCCTGCCTGACTCAAGGCGAGCGATTCCCTGCTTTCCGCTCCCCTCCTGCCTGCCTGGCTGCAGAAGAGCAGCAAAGCCACCCTGCAGAGAAGGACAGCTGGGCCAGAGGGGCCGGTTCCATGGGCCCTTCCCATTCTAGGAGTCTCCCACCCTATGAAAGGAGACCCCAAGCCATGTGCTGCAGGCGGGCGGGAGGCTGGAGAGGCGGCAGAGCCGAAAAGAGGATCCATTCTCCCTCTCACCAGATTGGGATCCGAGAGAGATTCTCTTCAGTTCAGCCAAGGAGGCTTTCCCTGCCCTGGGCCCCTTGAAATCCATTACGGTTATGTACGTAAGCTATTTAGACCTGAGTGAAGCTGCTTAGAAAGTAAATTCAAACGAAAGGTGGGCCTTGCCCGCTTTCTTCTACCTGCGGAATGAAGGTGGGCCGTCAGCCTCTTTCTGCTACCTCCCTTTGCTAGGGGGGCGGCTCAGGTCCTCTGCAGCTGCTGCCCCAGCACTTGCCACCCCCTCGCAGCCCCCCGGGGCAGTCTGCCAGGGCCTGCTGGAGAAAACCCCCCTGGCATTCTCTCTCTGCCCCACTGCCAAGCCCGGGGCCTGCAGTGGCACCAGGTTGACGAATTGTGCCAGCCTCATTCTCAGGCATCCGCTAAGTCGAGCAGAGGGCTTGGGGCATTCCTCAACCTTTCCCCCCTCACCTTCCTAAACATTGTCAGTTGGCAGGGAAACACCTGCCCATCAGCCTCCTTCACCCTGCCTGGGAGTGGCAGGTGGTGGGTGTCAAATGGCTTCACGTGAGCCGCTCTGGCCCCAAACACAGGAGTCGAGTCGGAAGGGGCCGGGAAGGAAGGGTTTGTTGACCAAAAAGGGTGTGTGTGTGTATCTGTGCAAACAACTTGGGATGGCCAACAGAACCAGCAGGCTCACTGACCACAACAGAGACCAAACGGTTGGTGGTGGTGTGTAACTTGCCTCCAGAGCCCAAATCAGGACAGTTAAGAGTGACTGGGCTGCAGGCCAGAGGAAGGGGACCCAGGTGGCTGCAACTTGAGAAAGAGGCAGGTTTGCACAGCCGTTATGGGCCAGTGAGAAAAGCCACATTAAGGTAGCATCTTTCCCCCTCTTGGGTGGCCTCAAAGGGGGAGAGCTTTGTGGAGGGAAGTCAGCAACTGTGGTGACTGGAAAGGGGGGGGCAGGTGAAAGGTCAGCAGTGGGGCAGTCCGAGAGGGCATCTTCCGGTCAGATTCTGCACTTCCCCTGAAATGCTCCACTTGCCTTCCAAGCACCCTCAAGGAAAGCACCAAAGAACCAGCTGGTGCTGGGCTTCACGGACTCAAAGTGGGGAGGGGGCACCCACGAGAGACATTTGGCAAATGAAACTTCTTCACACATATGCAAAGTCTTCGTCTAAGCACATCTGCACTGACCGGTCAAATAACAGACTATATTCTTGGCTTGGAGAAGTCCGAATTCAGTTTTATCCCACCAGCGGACACTCTCTCTGAGGGAAATGACAAGCGGTGGAAAAAGGGGTTTTCGATGTTCTGCCACCCAAAGCATGTCTGAGCGGCTCTTGGTTTAGGCCGATTGGGAGGAGGTGGGACAGAGGTGGAAGATGGAGAGGAAACCAGCAAATAGGTGTTGACAGAAATAGGAGGATGGCAGCTCACCATCTGGCAGGGAGGTTCCAGCTGCCTAGTTTCCAAAACAACAACAGCTTTGCTATGAGGAAGTTTGCTTCATGTGGGAGAGAGGACGGGCGAGATCCTTGTGCAACATGGAGTGCTGTGATGTGCCAAGCAACCAGGTGAAGCCTAATCCTAGATAAAATGCCAGTTGGACTCTGGCCAACAGAAGAAAAAAAAAGACTGACCTTGTTTTGGCAGTTGTTACTCTAATCCTTTGCACCAGTCTCGCTGAAGTATCCCATAATAACCAGTAAGATGAGACTCCTGCTGAAATACATCCTGCCAAGGGGGTAGATGAGTTGGGAAGGGCTTGCTCATGTCTTGCATTAAGAGTGGCTGGGTGCAGATCTACTTGGCCAGAACAGTCCCCGCTGGGCATCTGTGTGGTGGGCACAGCCGACATCTCTCTTAGGGCTGAATTGATCCAGACAAACTGAAACTGAAGGGGAGGTGGGCAAAATGCACCAGCCTTTTAACGGAAAACTTCTTGTGAGCCCTGAGAGTTGATAGGTGACTAATTTCTCTCTCCATTTGCTATGAGGGCCCGGCCTTCCTTTCATGCGGTAAAAGTCCACTCTGGCCAAATAGGAGGCCTGGCTCCTTTCTTTGATCTCTCTGGGGTGCCACCTGGGCACCTGGCTCAGGGCTCCCAGGGGAAGCCTACAATGGGACTAGGTTCTGCTCTGGCCCACCACCTTCAACCCAGGGCAATGGTTGGGAAGAAAGCGAGTTCACAATCAGTTCACAGATTGGCTCAGAAGGACATCTCAACAACTTCTTGAGGCCATTAGAATGCCAGCAGCTCATTGGGGCGGGGAGAGGGGAAGCATGCCTGACTGAGCTGGACGATGGCCCTTGAGAGATGCCATCTTCTAAACCGAGTCTTTGGCTTGAGCTGACCCAGGATGAGGCTGTCTTCCTGTTCTACCAGTAGAACAACCTTCAGGCAGGGATGGAAGAAAAGCCTCTGCGGGTAAGAAGATAGAAGAAGGTACCCCAGAATTGGCCCAAATCCCTTATCATGTAAAGAAAAGCAATCCGGCCCAACCCAACATTTCCCACCTAAAGGAGGAGATCTGCAGAATTAAATGGGCACTTGCCTGAGCGGCTGGCACTCAGAGAAGGCAGCTGCAGCATGAAAACGCCACCACATTTTGCCAATGGCCACAAAGGATGAAGGTGGTAGCAGCGCTGCTCAACTCACCTCTTGCAAGAAACCTTGTCTGCCTCTGCTTCACCCTTCAGTGGCCTTGGTCTGCCCTGAAGCTCCCTGGCCAATTCCATCACTCTCCACAGATGCCGGCCCCAAAGCTCCCACCCACTGAGGTCCCTGCTGCATCTCAGCCCTGAGTTCACTCTTTCTGACATCCAGTTATGGAGGAGGGTTGAGGAGCACAGACTTCTGCTGCAGGATGAGCAACTTGCAGGCCAGATGTGGTCCTGGGCTCAGAGGAGCCCCTCCTGCTTTTCAAGCTGCTGTTTGGCTTGCTAACTTCCACCAGCACCCTGTGCTTTGGGGCTGCCACAGGGTACCCGGTGCCCCTCGGCCAAGGAGGAACTGGGGCTGCAGCACTGAGACAGGCCAGCTGTTTTTCCTAGAATATGGAGGGTTTTCCTTCCAGGCTCAGCTCCTTGGATGCTGGTCTTCCACTTCATTATCTTGAGGCATTGTTTACTGCCTAGAGAGGCAGAGTGGAAATTTTGTGACATTTGTACACACCATTCAGGCCTATGGTATGGCGCACTTTAAGCACACCGCTGATATGTTCCAGATGTTCTGAGTGGCCGCCCCCTAGTTTACAGGGCTCAAAACAGAGGGAGCATCTTTATCCCAGCAGCTCCGACACGAGGAAGCAAGACCCCCTCCGCGGTGCTGAAGAAAAGCAGGAAAGGGCGCCAGAATCCCAAAGGGCTGGGCCGCTCGGCGGGGACGGGCTACGGTAGCGGCGGCCCTCGGGAGCTCATGCAAGCAAACTGAGCGAAAGAGACGGGAGGGACCGTCGGGATCGTTAAGTCCAACCTTGCCAGAAGCAGGAATCCAGCATCTCCAACGGGTGCACCACTCAGCCTGTTTAACCCCCCCCCCACCGCCCTTCCCTTCAGGGCCTTTTCCCGATACCAAACCAAAATCTGTTTCTTTTTTACACCGGAGACTCTTCCGTTGCACCCCTCAAGCGCAAGGGGCGACGCGCATGGGAGGCCCTCCTCCTGCACTCCAGCCTGGCTCGCGCCCCCAACCCCAACGCCCCCGCCCGTCAAGCGGCTGGCTTAAGCCGCGCCGGGTCCCAGACCGAGCCCCCCGTCGCTGGCCGGCAGAGCAGGCGGGGCGCTCCGTCTCAGGCCCGCCCTGTTGGCCTCTGAGGGGCCCAAGGGACGCTCCACTCCGCCTCCCGGGGGCTTCGGGGAGGCCGGGCAGCCTACGCGAAGTTTCCTCGCGCAGAGGAGCGGGCTGCGTCCCCCGGGACCAGAGACGCGGCCGAGGACCGGCTCCTCCCCGGCTGCGCGCCGCGCGCACCTGCCCGGCAAAACGGAGCCGCCTCCCGCCAGCCGACGGCCGACGGCGGGCAGGAGCCGGAGGGGCCGCGCGGGCAGCGCCAGCCGGGCGGGAGGGCGCCGCCCGATCCCCCCGGCCTCCCGGCGCCCCGGAGCGGCGGGCGACGCGTCTGGGGCGGGCGGCGGGCGGCGATGGGCTCCCGGCTGAGCCGGCGGAGCGGCGCGGAGGCGACGGCCGTCCCCGCCCGCTCCCGGCGGTCCCTCCGCGGCAGGAGCCGCCCGGAGGAGCGGCCGCGGCGCCCCGGCCCGGACTGCCGGCTGCTGCTCGACGCGGAGAAGCTGCCGGCGGGGCCGCGCAAGAGCCGCCCGGCGGCGCCCTACGTGCGGCGGGTGGGCTGGCTCCGCGAGATCCAGGCCACCCTCCGCGAGCGCCGGCACGAGCGGGCGGGGCAGCTCCTGCGGCTGCTGCGGAAGGTAGGCGAGGCCGGCGGCGGGAGCGGGGGGGGGGCGGCGGCACCGGCGTTGGGGATGCGCGCCGCGCCTTTCCTTCCCTCCGGCGGGCGAGGCGGACGCGCGGAGCCCTCTTGGGCAGAGCGAGCCGGGCCGGCGCGTCTCCGGCGAAAGTGGGCGCCGCGGCGAAGCGCCGGATCTGGCCAGAAGCTTCGCTCCGAGCGCGGCTGTCGGGCGGGCCGGCGGGGGGCAAAGGGCGCCGCGGCGGGGATGGGGATGGGGAGAAAGCGCGGCGGGTGGGGAGGGGCGCTTCCTAAGGGGACGGCGGGAGCCCCTCCAGCTCGGTGGGTGCAGGCAGCCCCCAAAGCCGGGCAAAGACGTGGGGGCTCCAATCACACACACACACACACACACACACACCGCGGGATTTTGTACTAGCTGACATTTCGGGATCCCCCCCCCCCCGCCGCAACACCGAAAGAGTCCTCTAACCTGGAGGCAGAAATGCGGCAGACATGGGGCCGGTTGCAAGAGGCTGCATGGGCCTCGGGATGCCTCGGCAGTGCCAAGCAAAAGACACCCTCCCCTTGCAGCCCTGTCGGGATGGCAGGTTCCCCCAGGTGTGGATTGTCCCAACCTTTCCAGGCCCAGTTCCAAGGAGCAGACCAGCCTTTGTGTGACTGCTGGAGAGCAATTGTGTTGCCCAGTCGGTTGTTGACTCTGTCAGTTGTGGGCACAGTGAGTTTGCTGTAGCTTCTGCTCCTTAGTTGAAAGTGTCCTCCTGATCCAGAGAGACGCTGCACCTGGCACGAGAGCAGGAGGAGTGGGCAGTGGTGCCGGGCAGGTGCAGACGAGTGCCCACTCGCACACCAGGGTTGGAAGAGATGCTGGAGGAAGCAGCTTTGCCAAACAAGCTCTGATGGGGGTGGGGAGCAGTTGCTCTCGGACCTTTTTTTCCATCTAAAAATTCAGTTGGTTCAGCTTCCCAAAAGCTGCCGCCAGGATCCAATGGGCAATCTTGCAGCTGAGGATCGTGCTGAAAGAGTTTTTAGGGACCGCAGCTGCAAGGAGGCAAACTTTCCAGCCTCTGGAGCTGCCCCACGTCTGGGTGACGAGAACTGCACCTTCCGCCTCCAGAGGCCTGCCTTGCTTGCTGGCCAGTGGCATGTCTGCGGGGGGTGGCTCCCTCTTCAGTGCCCACCCCAGCTCTTAGCTACTTTTGCTCTCTGCTCATAGGACCTTGGCCTGGAGGGGACATTCCTCAATGACGTGCTCTACAAGAAGGCCACCTTCCTCAACCTGGTGGACCCCATCTCCCACGACCTCCTGATGACCCTGGCCAGAGACCTGGAGTGCCCCAAAAAGGTGAGGGCCAGTGGGTCCCTTGGGGGGAGCACCGTCGACACTTAGGTCTCTGGGTGGGGAAAGAGGCCACTCTTTGGAGACCCTGCTGGTACCTCCTCCAGAAAAGCTCCAGGCCTCAGACACCAATCAGGTCCTCCTGCCTTGGGAAGAAGGACAGAAGCAAGTTGCAGCATCCGGCCAACGTCCCCCCAGTTGGGCGTACCTGTGAGGAAAGGGGCAGTTTCATGTTGCGACCTTCCTTGCTGGGAGCCCAGAGATGCATCTTCCTCCTCCTCTGGGTTAAGTTAGGGCAGGGGAGTTTCAGCTAGGAAAGATTGGAGGAGCTTCCCAGCAGCAGGAGCAAAGAAGGCCCTTGGCCACCCTTGCCCTGACCCCCAGCCTGCCTCTGCCCTGAGGGGGGGATGGGGCTTAATCTTGTCAGCTGGCCCTGCCTCCCAAGGTTATCCAAGTCCTCCTCTGCAGAGACCTCACAGGATCCCCTCTGCAGTGATCCAGCCTCTGCAGTGATCCAGTCACCTCAGTCCAGAAGTGCCAGTGGGAATCCCAGCCGGGGCTTCCTGCTTTGCAGCAGGAACGTGCCAGAGAAGCCAGGTCTTTGGGCCGTGGCTCTTCTGTCCCTGCTCAGTGTTGCTGCACTGGATGAAATGGGGGCAGAGGCAGGACAGGCTGGCAGATGGAAAGGAGAGGTTTTTAGGTTGGCCTCCAGTAGAGACACTTACTGGATTTTTTAGATTTAAAAATGTTCAGATTATTCTGCTCTGCTTATTCTGTGGCACCCACCATCCTCCATGGGTGGCCCGCCTTGCTCTCAGCTCTCCTGAGCCAGCTGGTCCAGTAGGATGTGCTTCTGCCAGCTGTGCTTTCCCTTCTGGCCAGGAGCTGAGAGGATCCCCTTCTGGACTAGCAGGAGACCCAGCTGCTTTCTGTCCCTCCCCTTCTTTGCCAGGAACCAGACACCCACATGCATCGTGCTGCCCCCCCCCCCTTCCTGTGCAGAAGGGCCAGGCGAGATGCAGGGCCTGCAGCCAGCGGGATGGGGGCGGAACACGTCCTGATGCTGCCTGGGGGGCTGGGGCAGCTGGATGGACAGGGAAGCAGCCCCAAATCTTGGGGTTGCCTCAGCTCTTCCTGGGTGTCTTCCTGGCAAAGGTCTCTGATCTCACGGGAGAGGATCGGCATGACCTCCAATGGCTGCATGGTCTCCTGTGACTCCTGGCTGATAGTTACCGGAGCCTTGGGAAAGGCAAAGCAGCTGGCTGGGGGCAGGCATCTCCCAGGGCCCAGAGAGCCCTCAGTGGCAGAGCTCAGGCCGTGAGGACTTGGAAAGGATGCAGATGTGGGACTGGCAGCTCTGCAAACTGAGAGGGGGCCCGGCCCCTGCCGACGGCTGCCACTTCCCTGCTTTCAGGAATACGATCCGTGGAAATCCTCCGACCGGATCTGCCGGCAGCTGATCTACCACTTGACTCCACATTCCAAATGGCATCGGTCTGGGCTGCCCCATCGCAATTCCCACAGCAGGTGAGCAGGAATGGGGTGCCACAGCAACCCTTCTGGGGGGGGGTCGGGGGTTGCAGGAGCCAGGAGGAGACCAGTATTAGAGGGTGTGACATGAGCTCAGTTCCCACAGCAGATGAAATCCAAAGTAACAAAACAAGTGGCATTCCAAACAAATTATAATACAACATAATGCGATAGCCTAGTTCACACAATATGATTGGACAAGGCCTGGATTTCCACCCACAAAACACTAAACCACAAAAGTCTATTTAGGGCATATTGGGTGAAGCCAGCTTCTCTAGAATCCTTGCTCTTGCAAGCACTCATACATGCACCGGCTTTGAACACCCCCCTCCCCTTCCCATTTCAAGAACTATGGTTACTGAAAAACCCGGCATTGCCTTAAACCAGGGGTAGGCAACCCAAAACATTCAAAGAGCCACTTGGACCCGTTTCCCACCAAAAACAAAACACCGGGAGCCGCAAAACCCTTTTGATATCTAAAATGAAGATAACACTGCATATATCCTTTTTTACTTTTATTATAGGTGTGTTTGTGTGTTTGTGTATGTATGTGTGTGTGTGTGTGTGTGTGTATACACACACATTAAAAATAAAAGTAAAAATATCACTCTTGGGAATATCCATATTATTAAAACAATGATCACCAAGAGAATGCTTTAAGAGAATAAAATTACATACACACACAGGTAAAAAAAGGATATATGCAGTGTTATCTTCATTTTAGATGTCAAAAGGGTCTCTCTCTCTCTGTCTCTCTCCCTCCCTCCCTCCCTCTCTATCTGCCCTTGGTCTGCCACTCCTCTTCCCCCTCTCTTTCTTTCTCTCTCTCTCTTTCTTCTCTCTCCCTCTCTCTCTCCCTCCCTCTCTCTCTCTTTCTCTCTTCTCTTTCTCCCCCCTCCTATCTGCTGCTCACCTGGCAAGCTTCAAGCTGTTGTCCAACAAGCTCAGGGGTAAGCAACCTCGTCTCTTTTATGACTCATGGACTTCAACTCCCAGAATTCCTGAGTCAGCATAGCTGGGCTAACTAGCTCTCTCCTGCCCTTCCTGCTTCCTGCTTCCTGCAGAGACGCAGCAAAGGGAGGAGCTCCGCCCAGTAAGCTTTTCAGCTCCTCGGAGAACACTGTGAGTGCACTCTCTTTTACACACACACACACACACACACACACACAACACACACACACACACAGAGAGAGAGAGAGAGAGAGAGAGAGAGAGAGAGAGAAGCAGGGAAGCGCAAGTGCCTCTCTCTGTCTCTGTCTCTCTGCAAATGGCAGAGGAGGCTGGGAGCCACAGGGGAAGGCTCAAAGAGCCGCATGCGGCTCCGGAGCCGCAGGTTGCCAACCTGTGCCTTAAACCATTGCTTGAAAGGACAACAGCTAAGCCAAAGCTGCCCCTCCCCTTGTTCTTCTGCCCCTCTTCCGGCCAAGGCAAACCCCCTTCCCCAGCGCCATTCACAGGGGCCAGAACACAAACCAGCTGCAGCTCACTGCACTCGCTCCAGGCCCCCCCCCCAGCAGGAGGACAGGAAATTGGATCCAGTGGACGGAAGGGTTGCAAGCGCTTTTTTGGGGTCTAATGCTGCAATCCCCTCCCCTGCCACGATCTTGGGCTGTGGGACCTCCACACAAAAGTTACTCAAGCATCGACCAATGGAAAGGGATGGCTTGGCCAAAATAGCTGGCTCAAGCCAGGCCCCTGCAGCAAACAACGGTGGTGCCAGACTAGACCAGCCTACGGTAACACCATCATGCACTGCTTCGGTGCACTTGCACCCCAAATCCAACCCAAGCAGGCCAGGTGCAGCACTTGTGTGATGTGGCCCATTATGGGTTGTCCCCCTCCGCCTCTCCAGATGACCAGTTTTCTGAAGGGAGCAGCCCTTCCTTCTGAAGCCCCTGGTCCCTCTTTTTCTCCTTTAGCCTGAAGTGGAGCCTGTACAAGAAGCCCAGCCAAGACGCCGTCGATCTCTCTGGGGTCCCTCTCTCCACACGTGACATCCAGCATCTGGCCAGCTACCTGCAGAACAGCGGTGACCACCTTTTCACCATAGACCTGAGTTTCACCGACCTGAAGGATGAGGAGATGTGCTTCCTGATGCCTTTCCTGTGGTCGTTGCCCAGCCTCACCCACCTCTCCCTTAATGGGAACCACCTGACCCAAGCCACTGTGAAGGACCTCACCGACGCCATGAAGGACATGGCTAAGTTCCCCTCCTTAGCCTGGATCGATCTGGGCAACAACGTGGACGTCTCCTCCATGCCGCAGCCTCTGCTTGTTGGCCTGCGGAAGCGGCTCAGCCAGCAGACCACCCTGCCCACCATTTATGAGTCCTTGGACTGCGCTTCTGAGGCATCCAGTGGGCCTGAGACCAGCTTGCTGGAGGAGGAGGAGGAGGAGGAGGGGGAGGAGGAGGAGGAGTTGTTGCTGCAAGGGGAAGAGAATATCCCGCCAGTGGCCAAGCGCCACTTCCGCCAACAGTCATGTGAAAGATGACTGGACATGGAGGTGTCCTCTGGAAGACTAAAGCCACGCCTGTGGAAGCTCTGATGGAAGAGAGGCCGCACCAGGCCTCATCCGCCCACTTCCTTGAGCCTTTCCAATCCTGACTTGGTCCCCTTGCCCCATCCTCTTCCTCCTAGTCGGGCTTTCTCAAATGCACCAAACCAGGCTAGTCACTTACCATGATGCCGCAAACCTGGCGAGCTAGAGAAAAGGAGACCATCTGGAGATGCAGGTGGGCAATTGCTGTTGTGGGGAGGCGCATGGAGCAAGCCCCAGAGCCATCCTTTCCCAGATGTGCCGGGTCCACAGGTCCAGAGAGCCGTGTGACAGTGGCATGGAAAGACTGGATGGGGGCCGAGACGGCACCAGGATGGCACAGCCTGCCTCCTCCCCCTCTTCCCCTCCGAACAAAGGGTGGCGGAATGTGAGGCATGCGGTATCTGCAGCCCAGACATGTGACCGGTGGCACTGCAGGGATCGAGGGGAGCTGAAGTGGGTTGCACAGGTGTTTGTTGGGGGGGGGCTGTTTGGAGCATCCCTTTCCCCACTAGTGTTTCTGCTCTTTGGGCTGCTTCGTGGACGTCTGCATTCCAACGCCTCAGGGCTTTCTGGTCTCAGTCAGGCAGTGATGGGGGCCCTGCCTTAGGCCCAGGATGAAACAGTAACCTGGGCAAGTCCAATTCAGCAGAAAAACCTTGTAGTGTGTGATAGTAAATGACTTTCCTGGAGAGGATGAAAACATTGGTCAGCACTTCGTTGGGCAATCATGGGGAGTTGCAGAAGCATCGTGCTCTCTGGAGACACCTGTTGAGATGTTCCTGACCTGTTTCTTCATAATGGGGGTTCCCCTGCTTTGCCACCACTTGTCATTTCCCTCAGAAGGAAGAATGTGCACATTTTCAGCTGTGCCTCATGGCCAGGGGGGCTGGAGTGCTTTTCTCATCGTCCAATACAGAGATGCTTGTATTTAATGTCCCTGGCAAGGCCGGTGATGTTCCTTCATGGAGAAATTGGCTCTCCTCAGTTTAATTACAGAAAAAGCCTCCCCCTCATCAATTTAGGGCGTACAAAACAGTGATGACATCTAAGCCACAGCTGAAAGGTCAGAGTTAGACATGAGGCTGCTAAGCCATTAATAAGTGGGTTTGCAGAATGCATCACTCGATTAGGGTTTAACTTCTGTGGCTCAGACTGAGAAAACCAGACACTCTGAAGAATCTTTTAAGACGACAAAAACTCCCAAGAACTTGACCACTGATGATGATCCAAAGCATCCAGCCTTTCCCAGTTTCAAAGCGTGGCCATTTATGTGCACCTTTGGGTTTCATTCCATACAAGCCCCTTTTTCAGAACCCAAATCCTGTACAGATAAAAACTTAAGATGTAAATAAATCCCCCCCCCCAAATGCAGTCCCCTAAGCCTTGGGCAGCCACTCTTGAACACCTGAGAGGAAAGGCGGCCCACTTATTAGAAGCCTCTGATAACCAAAGCTAAGACTTCTGCTGGTAAGACTTGCAGGCTTTGCAATGAAGCAGCTCTCTGGTTGAGAGACCCCCAGGCAGCAGAGGAAAGATTGTCAAAGTGGATTGAGAGGGCAAGATCACTGGTCATCTTCAATCGGAGGGAGTCAAACCTTTTCTCAGTATGTAATATGATACTTTCCCTTACAATAAAATTCCCAATTCTGGTCCAAAAGGTTTTGTTAATCTCTTGAGACCAAACCAAACACATCATCCTCTACTTCAGGGGTCCCCAACCCCTGGTCCGTGGACCAGTACCGGGCCACGGCATGCCAGCAACTGGTCCGCACAAACAAGCAAAGCCCCATCCACAGGATGCAGGCAGCACACAAAACCAGGCCCACTCCGGTCCACGCAAAAACCTCTCTCCACAGAACCGGTCCCGGGTGCCCAAAAGGTTGGGGACCTCTGCTTTATTTAACTCTCCAAATCCACCATTGCATGCTCAAAGATAAATTAAAATTTTAGAGGCATATGAGTGAACACAAGTATAAAGATACTTGCTAGATAAACATTTTAAAACTTTATTCTGCATTTTGCAGATAAGGAGAAAAAAATATCAAAACTTAAAACTTTTAAGTAAGCACTAATAAGAGCTCTTATACCTTGCCATGGTTTAGATTTTATGGACCTGTGTTTCTATTTTATGCATTACCCAGAGACCTGGATTTACTGATTAATTCAAAGTACAATAAATTATTTTAAAAATCAAACAGGACTCATGGCCATTCTTTTAATACTACTAACAACTTGTTTATTGAATCTCACATAGGAAAGCCACCCTCAAAAATTGTCTATTAACATCACTTAAAAAGCAGATGACTGGTTTTAATTTCAGTTTGTATTTTTTAAAAACAGCTCCTGAGTCATGTTCATAGGTACTGTAAGCGGTATGGGGTCTGGCATTTAAGGTGATCATTGAGGCCTACTATGACTATATAGCAGCCAATCTATATCTCAGTTAAGTCAATGACACACAGCAGATGCTCTTCCTATTTTGTAAGAAACATATTTATTAAAGTAGACACAAATTACAATTTAGCACAGTTTTCTCTTCAGCAAAGCAGGGTTTGATCCCAAGTTATCGCCGCTTCTGGAAAATGTTGCCACGTCCCATTCCACGTCCCCTTCCTCTTGCAGCCACTGGAGAAAACAAACAGAACACAAAAATCAGCAGCAAAGGACAAACACGAAGACACCCAGTCATGCTGGATTTGGTAAGGAGCCTATCAGAATCCACAGATGTTTCTGAGAAGACTAAAAAGAAGCAAGAAAAAAACAGTCTCTTGTGACATTTTAAAGCCAATAAAACAAAAGCCATTGTCAATCCACAATAGGCAACACAAATCTCTTTCCGTCAGTCCTACTGCCCTTTGCTGCTGCTGTTGGAATCTCTCCACTTCTGGAGTTCCATTTGCAGCCTTTCGTGCTGGGGGGGGGGGGGAAGGCAAAAGCTGGCGCAGAGGAGGCTGGAGGTGGGAGCCCTCCCTCCCCTCTCCCGCTTGTGTCCTCTGGGCAGTTCTCAAAACTTCCCCCCTCCCTCCCTCCCAGCAGGGCACCCCCTTCTCCATCCCCCCCCCAGGGCGGGTGGACCGGCGGGCCCAGGGAGAGCCAGGGGTCCCGGCCCGTCGCTCCGAGAAGAGGCGACTCCAGGCAGGTCACGATCGGGGCATCATCGACGGGCGCCAGGTGGTGTCGAGGGGCCGCGAGGGCGGCGTGTGCGGAGGCGCCAAGGGGCCTTTCAGATGCTCGGGGTCCTGGGTGCAAAACGGGGGGGTCCATGGAGCCCCCCCCTTCCCCGAAAGAGGCTCGTCGGCGCCACGCTCGGTCCCCGTTGCCCTGGCACCGCGGCTCCCGCTCGGCCTGCCCGCCGCCCGCCCCAGCGGCCCCGTCCCCCTCGCCCCTCCGCCTCGGAGGAACGGGGGCGCCACCGGCCCCGCGAGCCCCGCCTCACCCTGCGCCTTGAGGATGGCGGCCTTGCCGCGCCCGGCGCCGGAGCCCTGGTTCTTGTTCTTCATGCTCTTCAGCATCGGCGCGTTCTTCAGCATGTCGGGCAGGATGAGGAAGCGGATCTTGCTGCCGCGGATGTAGACCTGCTCCAGCTGCGCCACCCGCCCGTCGCGGTAGGTCACCGTGATGTTGGACATCTGCGGGGCGGGAGGAGGAGGCGTCGGTGAGGCCTGGGCCCCGGGACCCCCCCCCCGGCGCCCCCCGCCCGCCCGGCCCGGCCCGCGCCCTGCCTGGCAGTTCATGTTGTCCTCGGCCTCGATGAGCTTCCCGCGGTAGACCTCGCCCGTGTTGGTCTCGCAGGTGACGATGTGGCCCTCGGCCTCGTGCAGCACCTTGATCGGCACCCCGATGGACATGGCGGCGGCCCGCGGGAGGAGGAGGAGGGGGAGTGGGGGGAGAGGGAGGGCGCTCCCGGCCTGCCCCGCGCGCGCCGCTCTGCCCCGCCGCCTCTATGGCGCACCGCTCTCCGCGGAGGAGGAGGAGCGGCGGCGCCCCGCCCCGCCCCCCCGCGCGACGCCCCGCCCAGGCCGGGCCCGCCCGCCCAGCGCCATGAAGAGCCCGGCCGAGGAGGCCGCCGCGCCGCCGCCGCCCGCGGGTGGGTGCTCCGGTCCGGAGGCGGCCCCTCGCGCGGCCGGGAGAGGAGTGGCCGAGCTCCGGGCCCCGCCGGCCTCGGCCGCCCCTGCCGACGCGGCGGCCGAGGGCGGCGGGGACGCGGTGCAACTGAAGGTGCCGGCGCTGCAGCAGCTCTACCACTGGGACTGCGGGCTGGCCTGCTCCAGGATGGCGCTGCGGTGAGTCGCCCGGCCTCCCGGCGGGCCCCGCGCCCCTCCCGCCGGCCGTCTGGGGCACGCTGGGAGCGGCAGTCCTCGCCTCTTGGAGGGCGAGGTGGGGCCGGCCCTTCTCGGCTTCCCTTCCCTCCTCCTCCTCTTCCTCCGCGGCGCCCCGAGCCGAGAGACAAAGCCTCGCCGATGGGGAGGAAGGAGCGAGGCCAGCGGGCAGCCTCCGCAAGGCCGGCCGGCCGGCCGGGACGCCAGGCGGGGGCAGCGAGGAAGGCTGAGGGCCCCTGGCCCGAGAGGGGCTTCCCAAGGGGGCCGGGGGCTCTATTAGGTGTGGACCCCCCTCTGCCCAGGCGTTGGCCTTTCGGCCTGCTGCCTGAGCTGGAGACGGCGGGCCCTGCCTTGTGGTGGGAAGCCTCGCTGGTCTCCGGAAGGAAACGGTTACTTTTTTCTGCCTCCAATGCCCCCCCGCCCCCCCCTGATCTGGCCCCAGGTACCTGAACCTGCTGAACGATGAAGACTTCCAGAGAGCCGTCCGGGACCTCCAGTTGACCAAAAGCATCTGGACAATTGACTTGGCCTACCTGATGCGTCACTTTGGGGTGAAGCACCTGTTCTGCACCCAGACGCTGGGCGTGGACAAGGGCTACAAGAACCAGGTAGCTTGCCAGGCTGCTGCTGCTGCTGCTCCAGACACAGAGGGGTTCCAGGAAGGATGCTTGCACTCTCTCACGCTGCCCAATAACATTTGGCACCCTCTACTAAAAATCCCTGGGTTGCCTCAATGAGAGTTTGCCCTTTGCTCACAGGATGCCTCAAAGCCTCTTTTGACGTCTTCCAAGATGAGCTTCATTGGCAGGCTTGGTTCAAGAGGGCTGCCCCAGATGTCTTCTCTTGAGGGAAGCAGAGGGGGGCTCCCTTATAGACCCTAGCAATCCCTTCTTAGGCTTTCCACCAGGAGAAGGGTTTGTCATCTAACGTTTGCTCCTTGTCTTCTTTAGTCTTTTTATAGAAAACACTTTGACACAGAGGAGAACCGGGTAAACCAACTATTTGCCCAAGCAAAAGCCTGCAAGGTGCTGGTGGATAAACGGTGAGCTACAGACTGATGCTTTGCCTTCCTTCTTCTAGCAGGTGATCCAACTGTTTATCCAGTTGTGCAGGATCTGTTATAACCCAGAGTACCTAAACAAGACTGCACCACCTTCCTGTGTAGCCATGAGGGTGTAGCCAGGAGAACTAACAGTCCTTTGAATGCAGGGATTGAAATTTTATGGTGGGAAATAAATCTACCTAGGATGAGTAGGGACATGCTGAGCAAAAGGGTGCGGTGTTACTGAGGCCACTTTTTTCCAGCTTTCTTCCTCCCATTAAAAGTGCTAGAGATCTACTTCTGCATGGACCAGGGGTGCTAGTTAGTGAAAGATGATGAGCTTCAGCTGAACTGCTCTCCCTACGGTTTGCAGTTTTTCCCACATCCTCATTTCTCACAGGTTGTGGTTCCCCTGCAATGGGTAAGAATATTCCATGGACAATCCTAAGGGACATCCCGAGGCATACTGTGGCTGTTAGTTTGAAGGGAAAAGTTGGAGAAGGAGTGACATTGATGGACTAATTTGTTCCTTCTCCTTGAGGACAGGAAGGGAAGGATGGAGAGCCCACTTAATAGCCGGTTTCAAGTAACGTGATCTCAAATAGAGGTGTGAATTGTAGATGTTTTGGTGTGTGCCCAGACTGAAAGGAGGAGGCTCTGTGGTTCTGAGAGGAGTGGAGTGGATAAGAGCAGGAGGAAGACTGTCAGTGGCAGTGACTCGGGGAAGGATCATGCAGGCCGTGGATGAGCTGTTGGGACCTGGCCGTTGGCCTAGAGGAGGGAGGAAGGTGCTGGGGGGATTGGAGGGCAGAGAGGCAGGTGGATATTCCGCCCTGGGAACTATTCACGGGACTGAACCACACCTGCTCTCTTCTACTTTTTTCTCATAAGATTCCTCTGGCTTCTGCTTTTATTTTTATTTAATCCCGCTTCGTTGCTTTTACAAATAAAGTGGCAAAGTATGCTTAATTCTTAACAGAATAACAGAGTTGGAAGGGACCTTCTTGGTCATCTAGTCCAACCCCCCTGCTCAAGCAGGAGACCCTATACCATTTCTGCCACTTATTTTCCCCATGACAGCCCTGTGAGGTGGGTTGGGTCAAAAGAGAGGGACCGACTCAAAGCCACCCAGCCGGCTTTTGTGGCCTCCTGCTTTCTAGCCTGTGCCTTCACCACTAGACCAAGCTGACTTTGTTCTAAATGCAGAAACCGCCAAAAAGTTCCAGGTTTTGTTTTTTCCCCCAAATTGGCAGAATTTCTGGAGCATGGTATGTAGCAGTTGTGGCTTTGAAATAAAACATGCAAGTGTGTGTGCATCCCTGGGCTCCTGCCAGACGTTTTGAAGTTGGCTCATTTTGATGGTAGCAGCCGGTCGGTTTTTCTGACTAGAAGCAGGAGGGAGAACAGGTAGGACTCCGTTGATCAAGCTGTCTTGGGGTTGACTCCCTTTGCAAGGGGGTGTCCTCAGGCAGGATTGGCCCCGGTTGCTGTTGGGGTTCTACTCAAAATATGGGAACTGTGAATGATGGTTGCCTGACTGAGCCTCACTAAAGTCAGATGAGTAGGGAGCAGCCTAGAAAAGGTGCAAATTAAAATGGGTTACGCTGCTTTTGAGGATACCAGCCGCAGGCGTGCCCAGGATGGGATGCACAAGTTTCACGTAGGGAAGATCCCGCTGGTTCTTTAAGTGGTCATCTGCGGATTCCCCTGGAGTGGCTTCCAGCCTATGTTGACATTGGAAAGCTGTCGGGGCCTATCTCAGCCTTTGGACAGGGTGCCGTTGTGGAACAGCTGCATCTGTTCGAGGAAGTGCCCTCCCTTTATCTCGGGCTTGTGAACTAACACGGTGGTCTTTTACTCGTAGAACTTTCTTGGCAAGGGGATGGCAGATGGCCACTCAAAGAACCAAAGTTACAGGTAAGCAACCTGTTCTTCTGCCTTGCGGTCTCCGCACTCACACAGAGGAGAGAGGAGCAGGCTGTGCATGCCCTGGAAGTGGGGCAGGGTCCTAGCCAAGTAGATCAGGACTAGAAGCTGCTTCTGGTGCAAATGAAAAATCCACCTTGTGCTTAATGGAACCTGGGAATGGAAGATGTGCTCTGGCTACCGTGACATTGCCAATGGAGAATATTTGTATCTCAGGGTTGACATGAGGGGTCCTTGGTGCTCTCTGAGCTTGCTTGTTTTCTTGCAGATGTTTCGTTATCCTAACTAGGTAACATCATCAGTGCTAGTTACATTAAATTATTTTGGACTTTATCCTGCTTTTTAAAAAATGTAAATAGTTGCTAGCAAAAAGACGGTGTGTGTGTGTGTGTAAATAACCGTTTAAACTGCCAACATCTGTGAAGTAATATTGTGGAGCCGAGGATGTGCAGTGAGGGATATGCACATCTGAAACTCTTCAGAAAATGCTTTGCAAAAGAGATGCAGGAAAATTGAGGATGAGAATGCTAAATTCACTTCCAGGGCAAAGGAAATCTTGGGCCATAGAAGCAGGGAAGATATGAAGAAAAAGATCCAGAGGCAAATCCTTAGGTATGCATACAAAAGGTAATTCAGCCGAAGATCCCAGAGCTGCTGGGCGTTTTAGCAGGGAGGCCTCACCCTTCCCAATCTAGGCTGGGAGCCCCCCAAGCAGATGGGGGGGGGATGGTGCTCTTGGACCTTGTGCCTGGAAGGGGAAGGACCCCTGTCCCCTTCCCAAGAGAGCCGGGGCACAGCTCCAGCTAGGGACTGTGGCCTACTGGGAGGTCCCCTTTCTGATGCCAACCAGACCTCTGTCGTTGGGCGAGTTGTGAGTGAGAAGTGGTTGGTTTCTTTGTGTTTTGCTTTGAGTTGTGTTTTGGGAGATGAGGAATAAGAGAAGGCCCTTCAGCTGTATAATTTATACTAATGAATTGGACTATTTTAATTAGATTTTAGTTTCTCCCTTTTACCTCTTTTTATGTGGCCTCAATCCTTTGAATCCCCCGGCAGGCAGCTGTAACCTCAGTGTGGTCCTTGGGCCAGAGAGTGGCATTAGGCATCCTTTCTCTTGAGGAAGGTGGCACCTGCTCTGAGGCAAAATGCCAAGATGAAAAATGGGCCAAGAGGGGGAAAGTCCCACACTTTGGCGGAAGTGGAGTCCCTGTTAAGGCTGCTGCTAAAGTAGGCCAAAAGGAATCGGGGTCCACGGGATCCTCTCCTTGGGCAGGTGGGGGTAGTGGTTCTCATTTGCCCTGGTCCCACTTACTGGCTGGGCCCCCTCCAGTGCCGGATCCACAAGGGGCTTTCTTTTCAACCGCTGTCACAGTGCGCCCACAAGAAGGCTGTGCAGATTCTCTGTTGGAGGCAGATTTGGTACCTTTATTTGAGCAACACAGAGATAAATTGATAATGGATGTTTTTGTAGCAGCATTGTGTATAGCACCTGATCTGTATCAAGCTCTCGTTTGTGGGATAGAATCACAAACAAATAAACCAGAGGTGAAAACAAAGATTTCGCTCATTTTCTTTACCTAAATCTCTGCCCATGAGTTGACCCGTCTGGTGCTAGCAGGTAATTTCAGTGCTGGACGGTGGGGTGTCTAGTTGAGAAGCTGCACTGTTTGGGGAGGGGGCAAACAGGCCAAGTGGGGCGGGCGGGGCACGTGCTGTACACAGAAAGGAAATTAAGTCAGTCTCGGTTACCCAAAGTTGCTTTTCTTAAGTAGTTGGTCTTCCCCACTCAGACCTGTGGGATTCTGTCGGAGTTTCCAACCTGGAGGAGAGCTTTAACTCAATCAACTCAGAGCCCAGTTTAGTGCTCTGCTCTCTGCCGCAGGTATAAATAAAGGTTACCGGATTTGCCTCGTGGCAGCGATGTGGTGGGATCTGCCGCTCGTGTTTTATTATATTGCCGCCCCTCCTGGGATTCCGAATGCGTTTCACTTCCCCCGTACAGCAAAGTTTCTCCAGCATTCAGAGTCCCTTTGCACGCACACTCCTCGCTCCCGTCAGACTCTCATCCTGGGAGGTTGCTGGATTCTGCCATACAACCCTCCAAACTGGGTGGCAGCCGACATCGGAGCAGAAGGTGGAGAGTTTTCCCTGCAGAATTCGGTGATGCAGCTGCCTCTGCCCCTTTGGTCCAGGGGCCTCCTTTCACGCTCAGCACCCGGCCTGGCTGCCTTGAAGTCGAGGGGGGAGGGGAGGGGATGGGCCCGATCCAGTTCAGAGGCTGCTTCCAGATCCTTTTCAGGCCCCTGAGAGTGAGAAGCAGCTGGTGAGAAAGGGCGACTCCAGCAAAACTGTGGAAAAGTTGTTCCTGTATGGCAGATGTAGGCAGATGAGGGAGGAGCTGCCTGCTAAGCCCTCCTGCCTCTCCCCCCCTCCCCAAGTGGCTCTGACTGCAAAGATGTCAGCTGGAGGCCCAGGAGAATCCAGGCTCTTTCTGTTGCCCTCACCGGTGTCCTCCTGCCTTTTCTCCAGAGGCTCAGGCTGGCCTCCCGAGGGCTCCCTCTGTACATCCCACAAGAGTCCGCTGAGGGGATTGTGCAGAAACGGTAGCCCAGGAGGAGTGGAGGGGACTCGGGCCTGGGCCTCCTCAAGCGCGTCTCCCTTTGTCTGGAGGCCCTGCCTGCTTCTGTGAAGGGGCGTGGGGAGAGGCTGACGGGCGTCTTTCCCTGGGCCTTGTCGAGTCGTGGCTGAGCCCCCATCTCTGCTGCAGGCCTCAGCAGGGGCCCATGAATAGCCTCCCCAGTGGGGGCCCCTGTGAGAAACAATGGTGGAAGACCCCGAGGAGGAGCCCTTTGGGGGTCTTGATTTTAACTTTCAGGAGAAAAAGTAGTAGAAAACGTTACATCTGTCTGTGGATATATAACATATATGTGCAGGTTTACATACTGTGCTTTCATTGTAATTTTCTTTTTTTAGTTTTCTCTTCTGCCTAATTAAATAAAGCAGAAACATTCCTTTGAGGTCAGAAAGGTTATACTAATTGGTGCTTCTGAGGGGAGAGCCACTTTTACACAACAGGAGATACTGTATTCTGTGTGTGCTTTATTTGTAGGCTGTCTAGAGTCCCTCTAGGAGGGAGATGGGCAGATGATAAATAAATACTATTCCTGAAGTAGACGTTTTTGGCCGGAGTACTCCAAGTCCCCTTTGCCCCAAAGGGTTCTTTTCTTCCTCGGGGCTCCTGTCGTGGGAGACCCTCTTGAACCCAGGTCTCCTCCTTCCCTTCTCCGGCAGCACGGTGACCATCCGAGACATCCAGGAGCACCTCTCGCAGGGCCACATCGCCATCGTGCTGGTCAACGCCGTGTTGCTGCTATGCGACCTCTGCTCCAGCCCGGTGAAGTATTGCTGCTTCCTGCCCATCGGCCAGAAGTGCTTCTGCCGCAGCCCCGACTACCAGGGCCACTTCATTGTCTTGTGTGGCTACAACAGAGCTTTGGGGTGCATTTATTACAACAACCCTGCCTACGCGGACCGTGAGTAACTGCGCCCTCACCCTGTGCCCTCACCCAGGTGTCGGCCTCCAACACTCCGCTCTGTGGGTCTCTGGGCGCCTCGTTTCTCGGGCAGTTTGGTGGGGTCAGGCGATCCCTCCGCAAGGGGGCTGTGCGTAGGCTGGGTGCCCTGCTCGGTGGTGCAGAAGGGGCTGGGGTGTGGAGCCCCTTGCCGCTGCCCGTGTCTGACTCTGGTCCCGCTCCACAGGAACATGCAGCACCAGCATCTGTAACTTTGAGGAAGCCAGGACCAGTTACGGCACAGATGAGGATATCCTGTTCATTTACCGAAACAGCTGACCCTGCGGCTGAGCTCCCAGCTCACTGCCCTTGTGGCAGCCATCTCAGGACTCGCAGACCTCCCCTCCTGGACTGCACCGGGCTGGAAGCAAAGGAGAGAGATAGAAGGGAGGAGAACGCATTTATGCCACCTTACAGCAGAAGGTCCACTGCAGTCCTAATAGATGACAGAATGTGGTTTCCAGTCGGGGTCTGTCTGGGGACCCCAGGTGATTTTGCCCAGGGGAGGGGGTCCAACTCTGGCCCCAGACCAAAACGTGGCCAGTTCCCCCCTCCCTAAAGAAAACTGAACTCTGCGCTCTCTTCTGATGCTGCAACAGGATCCGGAGTGGTCGCCCAATCCGAAGTCTGCACCCCTCCTCCCTCCGAGGCTTTCCCAGTTCAGCTCTCTTACCTGCTCCGGCCAGCTTCTGCCTGCAGCACAGCCAGGCTGCTGCCCTAGGAAAAAGCAAATCTGCCCATTTTTGCACATTTGAAGTTTTGAGATGCGGAATGTCCTTTCACAGGCATAAAACTCAGAAGCAATCCAGCTCCCTGAATTCCGTAGGAGCAGCTCCCCTATCCTATCATTCACAGTTTTTGAGTCTTCTGATAAAAACCAAGCAAATAAATTAAGGCAGAAAGGAAAGAAGGGACTCGGTGTCCTATAAAGAAGAGTTCAGAGGGGGACTTCCCAGAAGGACACACAAACACCCCCAGCAATCGCAGTCAGTGGCTCCTTCCGAAGCCTCATTCCCACTTAGAGGGACTTTTTAGGTGAGACCAAGTTTTGCAGTGTTGGCAGGAGGAAAATGTTTTTTTCCAGAGGACTAAAATCCTTTATATCTACAGGTTTTGAATTATGTGAATTGGCACTTTGTCAATCTATCATTTTGAATAATGTCTGTTTAATTAATACTCTGATTAGATTATTTGTGAAAGGCTGCCAGTTCTTACTATGTTTAATTTTGTCTTTCAAAAAGACAGTATTTCATAGACAGCAGCTGCGTCCTCGTGCTAGTTCAGCGGCCGCAGTTTATCAGCATTCTCCTTGTTGAGCTCATCCAAGACTCACGTTTGCCCAGAAGTCGGCTTTGCTAGATCCAGTCCGTTTTCCCTCCCGGGAAAAGCCAGGGTAAGGTTGCTGTCCGGGCACAGTCACTCCTAAAGGGGCTGCCCTTTTAGCTGTCCTTACCTCCTGCCACTTAAGTGAAGCTGTGGGCCTGCTTGCTTGCTTGCCCCAGAGTAGCCACCCAGGTAACGGCCACTCTGGACCTCAGCCTGCTTTGCCAGTTTCAAAGTGGCCACAGCAAGTCCAAGCAGGATCTGTTTGGGCCCTGAGAAGGGCTGAAAGCCTTCAGGAGAAGGGCAGGAGCCCCCTCCTGTCTGGCAGAGAGTCCCAGCTCCTTGGTGTTGCCTGCTGGGTGGGGGGAGAGCTGTGCCCCTCTGGGAGGCCTAGGTTTCTACCTCATCGCACCATATTTGTCTCTGCTCTCAGCCCCGGGGGGGGGGGGAGGCGCTTCTCTGGTGGCTTGAAATAACTTTGTGCTGTGTGTCTGCTCTGTGGTCAACTTAAACTCTTGTAAGTGCCTATTAATGGCAAGAGAATTCTGGGGAGCATCTTGGAAGTTACCCAAGTGAAGCTGCTGCTTCCTAATTCTAGCCCAAAGAAAGCGAGTCAGGTGAGGAGCTGATGGAAGTGGGCAAGGGTGACGTTTTATCAAATGGGAGCCTTGTTCTCCCTTTGCATTTTCTGCAGCTCTTGCAAAGGGAGGAGTCCAGCTTTCAGATCCTTTGCTTTGCAAGGGTAGAGTTGAGGCGTCCGTGCGCTTTCTGTCTTGCCCCACTCTTAGTACTGGGTTTGTTCATATATAGTAAAGAGCATGTTGCTCAATCTTCTAGTCTCCAGTTTAAGGGTGCTGCTTTTCAAGGGTTCCCTCTGAACAAAGCCCAGCTGAAATAGGTGTTTTCATAAGCAAACTCATTAACAAGGGTGTGGATGCGTCTCCATCTGTCGGATGGATTGCTTGGTTACAAGGCGCTATCCTCACAAAGGAAACATTCACACAGCTGAGGTCGGCCATCTGTCCTGGTATCCCCCAGACACGGGATGATGCGCCTGCCGCCTTAGAGGCCAATGGGGGGGGGGCTCCCCAGTCTTGGTGCAGAGCCTGCAAAGGGGAGAGGCTCTGAGTTCTGCCTTCCTGGCCGAGAGGGCCAAGCTGCTCCTGGCAGAGCGGCTGGCGCAAGGGAAGGGGCTGGGGGCCACCACTCTTGGGAGGGACACCAAGGCATTGGGACAGTCAGAATGAGGCCTGCCTGGGCCCTGCACGTTTTCTCTTCATTTGGGTACTCTGGACAAGGAAATGTTTATGCAAACTTCATGATCACACGAGAGTAAAAGGGAAGAAAACCTGTAAAATAAGTTTTATATACAAAAGTATTTGTAAATCACTCAATAAAGCCTGCTTTCTTGAACATGCTTAGACTTTTTTTTAAGATGGAATGGGTGAGGTGGCTAACCAAGAAAAATTCACTGATTTTTTTCCCCAGATATTTCTGCTGCTCTTTCTAGGTTGATGCTTTGCTGGTTCCCCGAGGATGGAAAGAAAATCCATTTTTCAAGAAAGATGCAGTTTGATTCCTTTAGGGCACATAACATCACGACGTATTGCAACTTTTTTTGCATTGCCAGACCTGGGGTGGGCTTGGCCTCCGCATGATGCAACCAGCCTGTAGGCCGGCAGTTTGACACCCCTGCGAGAGATGGTTTCATTCCCCAAAACAGTACAAATTGCTGGCGGCTGCAACGGCGTGCTCAGTCCTTCAGCAGTGCTGCTCCTTGTGCGGAACGTGGCTTTGGGAGCTCATAGGCTGTGATGGAGCACAAACGCCCCCCCCCCCCAGCATCTACTTTAGAGGGAGTCCCAAAGTGGAAGGGTGCTCAAGAGTGACAAATTGGAAGCTGAAAGAGGGAGACTCCACAGGATAATGCCTGCCCAATAGGCATCCTCCTGCCTGGTTGTCAATCCACCTTGGGAGTGCAGGCGGGATTTGCTTATCCCTCCTCTCAAGGCAGGTGAGGAGGGGTCCCCGGAGGACAGCTGCCAGCCTCTGGAGGAACTGGTTCTTGAAGTGGGGGAGAGGGAACAACAGGTAGGAGCCATCAGAGAAGGCTGGACTGGGAAGAGGCCAGCGAGACCTTGGGGGGAGGGGGGGCAGCCTGCTTCTCCATGCAGAAAGACCAATGAAACCCCCCCTCCCCCCAACCTGCCCTTCCTTGAACACAGTCCACCCTCCCTCTTGCGGTTGGGGAGGTCCTGTTATTCTGTGTGTGCCTTCTGGAGTGAGAGCCCCATCTTGACCTGTGCAATTCCCTCGGAGAACTGAGCAGTGCCACCGGTCACTAGTCTAAGCTCAATGCAGCCAGTGGTCTCTCCCCCCCCCCCCCCCAACAGTCTTGGCTGTCCTTTGGCTCAGGTTTTTCTGAATCAGCACAAAGAACTGAACACAATACTGGAGGTGCAATTTGGTATTAATACAAAATAAAATGAAACAAACATCTTCCAAGTAGGCTTTTAGGCTTTTGCCTAAAATTCTTCTGCCTCCCTTTTAGCCATTATTTTTCTTTCCTCCTTGGACTGAACCAGGCCTTTGGCCTGAAGCCTCCTTTGGGCTGGGGGGGGGGGCTGGTTCCCTTGGCTCTGATCCGGTTTCGGCATGTTGCTATCTTCACTCACCCTCCTTTTTGTTCTTAATGTTTTAAGCAATTTGCAAACCACCTGGTGTTGCAGGGACTTGGGAGGCAAATACATTTTATTAATGCTCCAAAGGTGTTTTTTCCAAAAGCAATTGGACTTTGTCTTTCCTTGAAGACATTTCGCCTCTCATCCAAAACGTTTACTCAGTTCTCATCAGATGGTGGAGGATGGAAGGATTTACATTCTTCGCAGTCAGCTCTCTCTCTGAGGCCACCTGGAGGTTCATTTGTGCCCTCGGGGTCACCTGAATAGTGCACAATATCACTCATTTCATCAATGAAACATTCTGCCTTTGTCTCTCTGAAGTTCGACTGTTTTCTACTTCTGCAACATTATTAAGATACTGCGCTGAAACTGTCTTCTGCATTCCATCCAGGTGTGCATCACCACTTGGCTCTCCCTCCACATCTCTAGTAAAGGAGAAGACCCTGGTTCACCTTGCTCTCTTCCTCGTGAGCATGGTCCACCAGATCTTCTGATAATTTGCCTTTCTGAACTAAGAACTTGTCTTCAGTATATCTCACCTTCATCAAAAGTACTTTATAATTGTTTTTAGGACAGATAGGACCAAATATTTCCATTCAATGGGGGAGACTCTAGAATGATGCTTGTCTCCATGCCCCATTTACAACACAACTATTGCAACTGAGAAGGTATCAGGGCAGCTTTTAATATAGGGGAGGAGACCAGTCAGGAAGAACTATCTGCAGAAGACTCTCCTCCCTCTGGGCAGAGAGGTCATGTCAGCTCCCAGTCATAATGCTGCTATTCTGAGGGGAGGGGGGAATGTTACTTCGGGACTGAATTTGTGTCAAGCAGCGAAGCCTCCTGTCTCTGGGACCACTGCGTGCTTCTAGCTTGCTAACAGTGCTGGAGGGGACGAGGGGAAAGCTTTGAATCCGCAGGTGTTCCTTATCCACGTGAGAGGTGAAGAGTTGTTTTGGCAGCTAAAGTTTCTTCTCATAATAATTACTGGAAGGTATATTGGACAATGTGGCTGAACTGTCAGAGAGGGGAGGGAAAGTTTTACTCTTTTAATGATCTGTTTTCCGCCATAGTTTCAGAGTTAGCTTTTCTTCAAACTTGCCGGATTGTTTTATGCCTAATAAAGTTAACATTGGAGTTCATCAGTTACAGTAGAATTGGAGCTGCCTAAGTCATTGAGAAAGATCCACCCCATATTCCACTGTAGTCTGTTAAAAAATGAAACGGTTTCCCCCTAACCCTAACCCCCACCTGTACCTGAACCATTGATGGTAGAAGGGGAACAGCATTTTGAAATTAAAGAAATCCTTGACTCAGGCACACAGAGGGGAACCACTCAACACCTAACAGCATGGAAAGGTTTCCCTTCGGCCCAGGACAAAGGGGTAAACAAGAAGCACATTAAGGCCCCTAGAATACTTAAATGCTTCCACAATCGGTACCCAGATAAACCAAAATGAGTATAACCTTTGTTTTCTTGTTCCCCGTTTATTAATTTCTCTCCTGCAGGTATGAATCTCCTTCTTTAGGGGGGCAGCGTATCAGGTCCCTGTCAGAGTGCTGCCATTCCGAGGGGAGGGGGGAATGTTACTTTGGGATTGAAGAATTTTATGCTTTTGCTTTGGTGTACAGTATCTGTGTGGGAATTAGGGACTCCTTTCTGGCCAGCTCCCGCGTGTCACTAAGGTCGCAGCGCCAGAGAACGACTTGTTATTACCTTCTCATCTTGGAGCTTTCACACCTTCACACAAGTGGATTGGCTCCTGATGGACCGGGGCATTGTGTTGGGGTTTGAATGATGGGAAATTAGCTTAACGCTTCACGCGGGAACTTCAGATTCCGCCTGGCTTCTTTGCGATCACTTTCTCTCAGTAAAAGATCCTTTTGAAATAAGGCTTGTTTCAAGAGTCATGCTTTCCGGAGAAGAGAGCCGAGGCAGGACCTTACAGGTCACTCTCGGATGACGTTGGGCACAAAGTTGGGCTGGACAAATGCAGCAAGTGCCTCGGCATACATCTTGTACCTTCCAGTCATCTGGAAAAGAGAGAAAAAGAAACCGCTATTTTCACACACCAGCTGTCGCTGCAAACACTTCCAAAATGGTATTTCAAGCCTAGGGGCTAAGTTGTTTTTTAAGCAATCACTGTTAGCATCCCCTAACAAATATTCACGTTAATGATGGAAAAGGAGATCCAATTTTCCAGGATTAACTTACCAAATGCTTCATAAAATGAATTGCTCCCAATTATTATATATCTGAACACGGCAACAGCCTGCTCAGATGCTATAAAACTACAGAATATGACATGAAAAGTACTGTTCAGGGCAGGTTGTGTTACCCCCACTCTGCAGAGACTCTCAGCCTATGATGGGCAGCTACAGGCCAGGGCCAGAAGGCAACCAGGCTGGTGGTCAATCACTGCTTCCTGGGGTTTCATGATTGGCTCTCACCAGTCCCCAAAGCTACTTTGCAATAGCTCTCAGTGGGGCCACATTGGTTCATACCTCCAGTGGCATCACGGGAACACTGAATGTGTGGAAACCTTTATATCAACCCTTCTGAGGGGGCAGTCTCCCATTTTATACACTGGAGAATCACTCGAAGGATGGAGGGCACATATCCAGATAAAAATATTTTGTCCAGAGGAACAAGAGAACCTTAGCTCTCGTGCAGGAAGGAAGGAAGGAAGGAAAGAGGTATTTGCTTCCCAGCCAGCAATGTTCTGGGAGAGATCATGATCCTGCAGGAGTCCATCAGCATCAGGGATCTCAACTGCTCTCTCTCTCTCTCTCTCTCTCTCTCTCTCTCTCTCTCTCTTTCTCTCCCTCCCTCCCTCCCCCCCTCTCTCTCCAAGCGCTAAATCCTTGGAAGGGCAAAGGTCATCCTAACAATTGATCTGTTTGGCCTGTAAAACCTTCCATTAATAGACAGGAAGATGAAACAGAGATCTGAAAAAGGGCCCAGGACAAGGACTACAAAACTGATCCTCGTGAGATCCTTACCTTGCAATGCAGGATGTTGATATGGGAAGAGCTGCATCCTGCCAACTTTTTCCCTACCATTGCTGGCCTCCAAAATTGTTTCCAGTCACAATAAATAGGGCTAGCATAAAACTTAGGTCAGCAAGACCTGGTTGTAATTCTTTGAGCTGTGGTTAAAATGCAGCATTACAGGCTAATTTTGCCAACTGCCAGAAGTTCGATTCTGACTGGCTCAAGGTGGACTCAGCCTTCCATCCCTCCGAAGTGGGTAAAATGAGGACACAGATTGCTGGGGGCAATAGGCAGACTCCGTACACTGCTTAGGGCTATAAAGCACTATGAAGCAGTATATAAGTTTAAGTGCTATTGCTACTGCTTTGGACCCTCCCAGACATGTTTTGCACCAGGTGAAGGTTCTGGGTTTCTTCTGAGATAATGCAAGATGGCTGCAGCTAAGCAACTCACCGCGGAAGCTGAGACTGGTCAGAGGTGTTTGGGCCAGAGAAGCTGCTCAAGGCCCTAATCACTGATCAGTCCAAAAGCAGCCTTGGGCGTGTCTCTGCTCCTTCACAGGGTGCATTTCGCTGCTCGGGTCCCATGCAGCAAAGGCCCTTCTGGGTTGGGGGTCTTGTTCGTCTGCCCTGCCTCTGGGCTCAGAGGGGATTCTTGCCCTTGAGAAGCAGCCACCCCACTGCTGATAAGCCTGAACTACTTAAGGAAACGGGGGCTCTTAAATAAGTAACACCATAGGCAATTCTTGAAAATATCTCTATCTTCTTAAGTCAGTGGTGGTGACCTAAGCCGCCATTGCCCCAGCCTCACCTCCCCCGTGACCCCCTCACCAGCAGCCCCCCTGGAGGAGAGACACCCCTGAGTGTGGCCCACGCAGAGCAGTGCAGCCAAGGACATGGCAGCAAGGCAGCGTAGAGAAGACTCTGCCCTCACGCCCCATCCTGCACAGTTGATGCTGCGGGGCACAGGCAGAGAGCGTGGCTGTCATGGCGCTGCTGGGCTGCCCTGGCAATCTGCAGCGGCCATGGAGGCAGTGAGTGGCCTTGTGGGCAGGCAGGGTGGGAGATGAGGTGGGGGCAGAGCAGGGGCGGGGCAGGAGGTAGAGCAGGGGCGGGGCCAGTTTTTGGGCACTTGGTCTCTAAAATGTTCGCCATCACTGTCTTAGGTAATCCCTTTAAGGAGTGTCAAATAACCAGCATGGCTGCATAAAGAACTCTCTGATAAATTGAAAGGTAAAAAGGACAAGTACAGAAAGTGGAAAGAAGGGCACATAACTAAGGCAGAATATCAGCAAATAGCCTGAGCCTGCAAAGACGAAGTGAGGAAAGCTAAGGCTCAAAATGAACTAAGGCTTGCGACCAAAGTCAAAAATAACAAAAAAAGCTTATTTCAACATATAAAAAACAAGAAAAAAGTAAAGGAAATGATTGGTCCATTAGTGGAAGAAAGTGGCAAGAAGGTGACAAGCAACAAGGAGAAAGCAGAACTATTTAACTTCTTTTTCGCATCTGTCTTTACACAAAGTGAAAAAACACAAAGTGCTTTACACAAAGTGAAAAAACTCAACCTATCAAAAATAATGCCATAAAAAACAGAATAGAAACACACGTTAAGATAGGCAAGAAAATGGTAAATGAACACCTGTCCAGCCTAGACGAGTTCAAATCGCCAGGACCAGATGGATTACACCCCAAGGTTCTCAAGGAACTGGCAGATGTGATCTCAGAACCACTGAACTATATTTTTCAAAGATCCTGGAGCACAATGGAACTACCAGAGGACTGGAAAAGAGCTGATGTTCCCATCTTCAAAAAAGGAAAAAAAATGGATCCAGGAAATTACAGACCTATCAGCCTGACCTCAATACCTGGGAAGATTCTGGAAAAGATAATCAAACAACAAATCAGTGAACACCTGCAGGCAAACAAAGTCATTACTAAAAGCCAACATGGGTTTGTCAAAAACAGATCATGCCAGACAAATCTTATTGCATTCTTTGACCAAGTGACAAAATTAGTGGATCAGAGGAATGCTATGGATATAATTTACTTGGACTTCAGTAAGGCATTTGGAAAAGTAGATCACAACCTACTACTTGATAAGATAGAAAAATGTGGGTTAGACAGCATCACCACCAGATGGATTCATAGCTAGCTGGCTGACTGGCCGTACTCAGTGTGTGGTTCTCAATGGAACCGCATCTACATGGAGGGAAGTGTGTACTGGGGTGCCCCAGGGCTCTGTTCTGGGCCCAGTACTCTTCAACATCTTCATCAACGATTTGGATGAGGGAATAGATGGGGAACTCATCAAATTTGCAGATGACACCAAGCTGGCAGGAATAGCCAACACTCCAGAAGACAGGCTTAAGATACAGGAGGATCTGGACAGACTTGAACACTGGGCGCTATCTAACAAAATGAAATTCAATGGCGAAAAAAGTAAGGTTCTACATTTAGGCAAGAAAAACCAAACGTAGAGGAATAGTATAGGGGGTACGTTGCTCAATAGTAGTAACTGTGAGAGGGACCTCGGAGTCCTAGTGGACAATCACTTAAATATGAGCCAGCAGTGTGCTGCAGCTGCCAAAAAAGGCAACATAATGCTAGGCTGCATTAACAGAGGGATAGAATCAAGATCACATAAAGTATTAATATCACTTTACAATGCCTTGGTAAGGCCAAACTTGGAATACTACATCCAGTATCTCAAAAGATATTGAGACTCTAGAAAGAGTACAGAGAAGAGCAACAAAGATGATTAGGGGACTAAAGCATATAAGGAAAGGTTGCTGGAATTGGGCACGTCTAGTTTAATGAAGAGAAGGACGAGGGGGGACATGATAGCAGTCTTCCAATATCTCAGGGGCTGCCCCAAAGAAGAGGGAGTCAAGCTATTCTCCAAAGTGCCTGAAGGCAGGACAAGAAGCAAAGGATGGAAACTAATCAAGGAGAGAAGCAGCCTAGAACTAAGAAGAAATTTCCTGACAGTGAGAACAATTAACCAGTGGAACCACCTGCCTCTAGAAGCGGTGAATACTCCAACACTGGAAGTTTTTAAGAAGAGACTGGACAGCCATTTGTCCGAAATGGTACAGGGTTTCCTGCCTGAGCAAGGGGTTGGACTAGATGACCTCCAAGGTCCCTTCCACCACCACCACCACCACCACCACCACCACCACCACCACATTATATGACTAACTTGGATCATCATGATGGAATTATTCACATTTAAATTAGAGCACTCTTTTTTTCAAAAGAAAGGTTTTAAAACTTTACAGAACGAGGATAATGAATATTTCTCCAATCTGTAATAGTCTTGTTCCCTTGATCACGCAGAATAAAATATTATTTTCTAATTGTCGATGGCCATATTTGCAGGTCCTGCAAAATATTAACCTTCCCTGAATAGATGTGTTTTTCCAGAACACAAATATAAAAGATGATATTCAGCAGAATAAAAGCCACCAGAGTTCAAAATTCCCAGATCTGAAATACCTATTGAACAGTTTGAGAGATGAAAAAAGTCTTACCTTGAAATTCCATTCATCATTAACTTGTCTGCAAAGATTTAGATCCATCTCTGCCACCAAGAGTCCATCTCGGGTTCTTGACAGTCCGGGGGTCCGACTTCCATTTGGACCGGCTATATAACTTGAGCCATAAAAATAGCCCAAGTCACGATGAGCTTCATAAATTAATACAGAACAACAGGGTTTTATTAATAGGCAGCAAAGAGATCCACCACAGCAGAGTGACGATTGCATGTGATCAGGGCCATATTATTCTTCTGTTGGAGATAATTTAAATCATCCCTTGCCCATCAGGTTCCAAATTCAAGTACCCCAGAGAGAAGATGGGAGAGCCCCCCAGCTTCCCAAGTGTTCTATTTGTTAGGCTTTTCATTACCCTCCATCAGAATCTGCCTTCCTGTCTCTTAAATCCGTTGATCCTGCCCTCTGGCAAGAGAGGGACACCTTGATTCTTGCTGATGTGCCCTCTTTCCAGCTGCTATCTTCTCTTCAGGAACCTTTTACCCAGGACTCTCCTTGTCCATCTACCTAACCACCCATTAGACTTATATGGGGCCTTTTCTTCAGCTCAAGGGATATAAATAGCCCCCCCTCAAATTCTCAGGGGGGAGGGGAGAGCCACCAAGTGAATTTCCATAGCTGAGGATGGACATCGACCTGCTCTACTTTGATGCTCCCAATCTGTTCTCCTGACACATTTCTTGGTTGCCTGTTCATCCTCACTCTCCTTCACAGAAGCCTTTCCAATTTGTCTGAATCCTTTTCAGAAGCCACAGTTAGTTCACGGAGAGCAGAGTGAAATTTTGTTCTAGTTTCGGGTCATGATCATGTTGTGACCAATCGCAACTCTAGATTCTTGTCATGTTCACTTTTCCAAGGAATAATGTGTTTGACTCTTTTTTCCTTAGGCCAGCATTTCATAGCCTAATGTACTTCCATTGTTGTTTCCCAGCTACCATCAATATCACTCTCTTAGGAAGGAAAAGGGCAGTGGACAGAAGCAGTGCCCTGCTGTCATCCTCCCACTCCTGCCAGATTTCAGCCCTCAAAGACTTTGGGGAGACAGTGGGGGAAGAGCTCCTGCAGTTGCCAGCCAGCCACCCCCCCCCCCAAGGAAAAAACCATACGCACCCGGTTTTCCATCTCCAGATGTAAAGGGATTTGGGAAAAATTCCTGTAAGAAGCCAAAAGGTACAAACTGAATATCCCCCCTACTCTAAAGCAGGGGTGGGGAACTATGGCCCTTTTATGACTTGTGGACTTCAACTCCCAGAATTCCTGAGTCATTCATGCTGGGTCAGGAATTCTGGGAGTTGAAGTCCACAAGTTACAAAGGGGCCAGAGCAATCCTTGTCCATCCAATAGCTTCTGTCTGCCTTGGAAGCATTTATTGCATCTTCTTGAGCGGTTGTTGGCTTTGAGAAGGAAACATGGAAAACAGTGATGCCTGTACCTGCCGCTCCCCCTCCCTGGGGCAAGTACCCTATGACTGGACCCCCCCAGGAACACTGGAGGCGCCTGGAGCTTCCAGGGGGAGGACCCCCCTCTGGGGCAACAAGCAGAATTGTGGTTGGCATTCAGCGTGTCTAGGTGGTGGGGAAGGAAGGGAAGGGCAAGTCTCCTTAGCATGATGGGGCACTCCCCTCCCCAGAAATGGTGGGAAGAAGGCATTTAAGAACACAGTGAGAGTTTGAATGTTCCCCACACACATCCCTTATGGACTTAAGCATACACACAGGTGTCTTTATCAACTTCTATATCAAGTATTTATTACATATTTGTTATATAGAGAATTCTGTTGTCCCTTAAATCAACCATGTTTCGTGTTAACTGCTCCGTATTTAGCAGAGAGAGACTTTTACCCACAGGATAGCTAAGAAAGCACTTGAATGGCTGAGAGTTGATTCATGGCATGAGCCCCCCTCCCCCATGCTCCTCAGAATGGGGATTATGTACTTGACACACAAGACAACCTCGCAAGGACTATTTTCTCTAAAGCGACGGTTTCTAAAGTCAAATCTTTGGCCAAGGATTGCCGAAAGGCCTTACCGTCCCCACGCGGTTGATGGCACAAGTGAAGCAATGGTTGGCAATGGCGGCATTTCTCGCCTCGATGGGCCACATGGATTCACTGTAAAGGCCACCAAGAAAATTATATTCTGCAGACAAACTTTCTCTCCCACCCACGCGGCTTGTTTTGTCATGAACCTCTCCATTGGGCACCCCGATGGACATGCAATAAAATCCAGCAAACATCTCGTAAGACCATGAATAACCAGGAACGAAAAATGAACCTGCCCAAGAGCTACAGAAGAGGGTTAGACTTGTTGAAGAAGCCACTTTGAGAGGGCCACCACGTGGCCCCCTGGGCACGGGGCGTTCAGCAAAGCAGAGCCCTATGGGAAGAGGGTCCTTGTTGCATTTGACTTGTGCCTCAAGGCAAACTCAAATCCAATAAAACTCTTTCTGAGAAAACCCCAGTGCCACGTTTTGCACCAGTTGAACATTTCTGCAAGGAAAGTCCAATTTACAAGGAAAGTCCAATTTACAAAGTTTCACTGTTTGGATGACAGACCAGCTACGAGCGGGTGCTGGGTCTTCACCTTGATTTTCCCAAAGTAGTGGTGATCTGAGGACCACCTGAACCACCTGATGCCAAAGTTTTAGAGGCAGCAAGACCCACCCACCCAACCCAGCTGCCTCCCGAACTCTACCGATCACCAGGACCTCTGTTGGGTCTGTTTGGACTGAAGCAGCATTTGCTTATTTTCATCCTCTCCTTCTTTGCATCCAAACCATAATTTAGGCTTTTTCTTCCCCTCCCAACTGTTGAAGAAGAGATGTGGAAAAATTACAGGGAAAACCCAACTTCCAAAGTCCATTTGGGGGGGGGGGTCTGGCTCCTTTGGGTCTCCTTAAAAGAAACATGATGGTCTAAAAAGTCTGTCATCTGAAACAGCATCCAGTATATAAACTTAATATAACCTAATCAGGAGGAACCTGCCTGCAACTAGTTATGAAGCACTCCTTTACATTTCCTACATAATCTTGGACTGTTCTGCATTATTGTAGGTGGGAGACTCATGCTTACCGGGTAATGGGTGAAATAATAAAGGTTGTATCTTGTCTCTATCACTGTTTTACCTTTTGCATTATATAACCTAGGTTCCTTACATGAAGAAGTTTCCACCTCTAAAACTTGAAAATCAGTCTTCTGTATCTGTGCTGCTATGCACTCATGCAGAGAGAGAGAGAGAGAGAGAGAGAGAGAGAGAGACAGACAGACAGACAGACAGACAGACAGACAGACAGACAGACAGACAGAGAGGAGAGGGTGGAGGTTCGTTCTCTGAGCTTATGGGTTGGTTTCTGAATATTTTGTTACCAGGCTAGGTAAAATCTTCAGTGGACTTTAGCGGGTGTCAGTGTTGGTGGTCCTCTGTTTATAAGGGCTTCCTGGGGTCAGTAGGTCTTGTAATAGGGAGATCACATCAGATGAGGATGTGATAGGTCTTGTGAAGGATCAGGTGTGGGCCACATCAGGTGAGGATCTTGTATTGGGGCTTATAATGGGGAGGTAAACATCAGCTGAGGGTCACTGGGAGGTGAAGTGGTGGTTGAGCGGTGGTTGGGGGTTGCACGAGTTGGCTGAGGGTCGTGCTGTTGCTGGTTGGCTGTGTGGCTGATTTGAATTCTGAGGACTTCGTAGGCTAGTTGCAGGAATTCTATTGATGGAATTATTTCTGGAGTGCCAAGCTCCAATAAACTCGCGAACATGGTAATAGCGTTGCCGATGATTCTTGTATAGCTCCAATTGATCCAATTGAATCCAAGACCCATCACAAGATCCTCACCTGACGTGACCTCCCCATCACAAGACCAACTGACCACACAAAACCCTTATAAACAGAGAAACACGGACACCCCCTAAACTCCGCTGAAGACTTTACCTAGCCTGGTCACAAAACCTACACCGGAGCTACAGATAGTTGCAAAGAGAGAGAGAGGAGGAGAGGGAGAGGAAGAGAACAGAGACATTAAGCTGGCAAGTCTGCACTGCTGCCTGCCTTGGAAAAGGCTCCCAGACTTCTCATCAGTGCAAGGAGCAGAGCCCAGGCTTCTTCTGGCATTTCTAATGGAGAGGAAGAGGAAGGCCACGGCCTCCTTTTGGCTCTCCTGGCTGAAGGGGGCAGATGGGGGGGGGAGATGCCGTCCTCTTGGCAAACCAGGATGGAACAATGGATGGAAGGATCTGAGCTTCTGGAGACAAGGTTTTCATTAAAGACAGATAAGTCACAGACCTGAATCCAGATCAAGAGACTATCTGAATGCCTTCTCATTAGGAAGCTGCCAAATCCTACTATTCATGGGATCTATCCAGCTATTTTATTCCATTTTTCTGCAACAAAATGATGGTTACTATACCTGAGTTTGCCAATGGTGGCCGAAGGGTTAAAGATGATCTCTGCTCCATTCAAACTGTACATGAGCCAGTTGAGGGGATGATGGCGACCAAAGCAAATATTCACCGCAATCTTCCCAAATTGGGTCTCAAACACTGGGTGTCCTCGGTCCCCTTCCAGGTAATATCTTGACTGCAAAAGAGACGATCCGCCACCTCAGGACTAAATCACGGTTAGAACTCCGGAGCCTCTTCTACTCCCACCCTGAAGGGCTGCTGTCCACCTTCTTCTCACACATTTCAAGAGGGAGAACCCACGAGCCTCTGCAGATAGGCCACTAGAGCAGCAGGTACTGCCAAAAGCTCTATCCTTATGTTTAAATGAAATCTAGGTGGCTGCAACTTATATCCCTTGTTTCTGGCCCTAGATTCTGTGGCCTGGGAAACGGTTCCTCTAGGACCCCCTTTTATGTAACTGGACCCTGGCACCACTTCTCCCCTCCATCGCTCTTCTGCAGACCATTCTCAAGGCCTGGGTCATCTTTGTTGTCCTCCGAATGTCTTCTGACCTGCAATACGCATCTGATATCGTCCACGATGCTCCAGGCATGGCCTCACCAGGGCTGAGGGAGGGGTGGGTGAAATCTTCCCCTTCTTTAATGCAGTGCTTTTTCCATCACGGCTCTGAAGTGCGCCGCTCTTGGGTGTGAGAGCTTCCGGCAACCCTCTCGCACCCAAGCCATTCTCCGACATCGTGCTTCTAGCATGAATCCATCACCGTGGACCTGTGTGCGTCCTGTATTTTACCCCCCTAAATATAATACCTGGCATTTCTCTCAGTTGAAGGACATTTTGTCCTGCTGATCCCAGACACTTTCTACATTATCCAGATGAGACTGCAGTCTTCGTCGCTCTTCCTGGGTGTGGGCCAGACCTCCCAGCTTTGTGAATTAGTCTTCCAACAGATGTCTGGGTAATTGAAATATCCCATCACAGCCACTTCATGGTGTTTTGAAGCTTCCGTTATTGCTTTAATAAATATTTTGACTGGTTGGTGGTCTGTAACAGACTCCCAGCAAGACATCTTTCCTATTAGGTTTTCCTTTTATCTTAACCCAGATGCCTTTCAGGCTTGTACTGTGTTACCATCGATGTTGGGCCCATCCAGGACTTCAACACCTCCCTCCCCTCTTATGCTGCCTTTTCCTCAGTTCAAGGTCTCCACATCAAGTCCAACGTTTCTCTGGGGGGATCTTGTAATCCTTGATCGGTCTTTGTGCCTCATGATACTCAGCTCACGTTGTTGCCCGTATTTCAAACTTTAATGCAGGAACAGTGAAGGTAATAAATTTGATTGTGACTTCAGTCTCCCCTTTGCTTTATTTCCTTAGTTTCTTTATTAAACTTGTAGCCTCCAAAACATTTTTTTTTGCCTATTGTTTTTAATTCATTACCTATGTTCATTATTTGCAAATGATTCTCTAGAATCTCTCTAATTGCACTCCGTTTCTTGAAGTTCCCTTCCATGAAAAAAAAAAGTTAATTAGCAGGAAAATAACCCAAGTTAGGACACAGAACAGTCAGAGGCACTCATTTCAGCCCATCTCATCCATTTAACCTCTGTTGCTACTACCTAGCTCTAAGCTGGTGGTAAAAGCCCTCTGGCTACATCTGAAGGTATTCAGAATAGCTAGAGAAAACTTTACCCATTTCTTCCAACAGCAATTTCAGTTGTTTTACTGGACTATGCACAAATAAATTCCTATCCAGTCTATGTCCAGCCCCATCTAGAGGACACCCCACCAGGACTGAGCTGTTCACAGGGCGTGTCCTCTTTCTGCAGACCCTTCCCCAGTCATTTCTCGCTTCCACATGAAACCTGGAGAGCTGCTCAGCACTTTAGTTTTCAAAATGCACAGCTTGATCCAAGGCCCGATGCTTCAGAAGACGCTCTGAGCGCTCCCACATTCCCAGGAAGTCCCAGCGGTTAAGGGGCAGTGACTGGTGATGCTTGGCGGTGTGTCTGGAGGGGAGGGGAGGAGAGGAAAGCTGGATGTTTGGCTATGCCAAATGTCTGCTTGCACCCAGAGCCGCTTGGTGAGTTGGCTCCCCAATCGCTTACAGATTTGCAGCAATGCTCAGGTGACTGGAGGCTTTGTCCTTTGCCCAGGATTATTCCACTATCACAGTCTGACCATGAATAAAAATAAACCTGCAGTAGAAAGTAAATTTTCTGTACAGCTGGTAAAAAGCAACACAGGGAATATTGCAGGGAGGGAACTATTCCGATTGAGTCCCTGGTTGCTTGGGGGGGGGTTAGGGTATACACGTCTCCTCATTAGAAATCCGGTGGCCATTTGTTCTTTCCTTGGTTGTTTGTCCACTTGGCTAGGAGAGGGAGACCCAATGGAATCTGTTCCAGAGAACCTTTGCCCCTGAGTAGATTCGGGCCTTCACCCCTCTGCTGGCACACTGACATCTTCCTGGCTTCGCTGAGCCTTGATGAGGCAATTGCAGCTCCCAGAACAAGTTGCAAAACTCCAGGGCTCCCACCCTTGGGAGGCTCTCCTGAGGCAGTCCCACAATGCAGCTCCTCCAACTTGAATCTCAAATCCCCAAATTAGCCCATTTCACCCTTGAACCCGCAGTTTTGCCATCAAAATGGGATCCAGTGTGGAAGTTTGCCCTGGAACGCTTTCGAAACCAAACCTTTTACATCCTCTATCCTTCACCAAACAGCCAGGCCTGGCTCTCCTGCCCTGCCTGGTCAGAGGGAGGGGGGCTGGCCTCATCCCTGATCACCCCTGATTGCAGCCTCTGCTTGCTGGATGCCCATTTTTTTCTTTGGGCTGCTCAGCTGGATCATCCAACTTTGCCTGCTCCGAGATCTCTGCCTTTCCATCAGCTACTCTCCATTCTTCCCTGCACACGACTCCCTCTCAGTGCCTTGGGAAGGATCAACCACCATTTCCAGTCCTGGGAATGCTTTTCTGCCACCTCCAGACCCCAAAGCTCCAGCCCTGCAGAGACAACTGGGGTCCCCAGGCCCCCTGGCCCTCCCACACTCACCTCATTGAAGTCGCCCACCCGGGGGATGTGATTCTTCCTGCTCTTCCCCAGCACAGAACCAGAGCTGGAAATGACCACGGCTGAATTCCACAGAGTTCCTCCATGGGCAGCATCTCTTTCCAGGATGGGAGAGACCACAACCAGATTGTGCTTCTTAGCCAGCTGCAAACAAAATTATGCCACGTTGTATTTAGCCCTTTGGGGGCTTTGTTCATTCAGAAAGATGGCTGCACCAGACAGGGCAATGGCGGAGCAGAGCTGCCCTTTTGCAGAGCACCTCTGAGATGATCCAGGAGCATCGTGTTCAGCGTTCATTTTCTAGAAACAGAGCAATTATCCTCTCTGTGCAACTTAAAGTGAATGATTACGTTATTGTCCTTTCTGGAAAGAGCATTTTGCATTATATTTCAACCTTGAGAGGTCATGTCTTTCTTGATCCAATTACATTCTCTCTTCCTTCCCCTTGGATCATCTTGTGATCCCATATGTCTGAATGTTACCACAACATCCCCCAGGATGCAATTAATCTCACATTAATAGTCACCCATCCTTGAACTTACTCTTTAGTGAAAATAGTCGAGATGCTAACCAGAGCAGCTTTGTCCCTCTGGAGTCAGCAAATCACTTCACAGAACAACATGCTTCCCACTCAAGAAGGGAGGATGAACTTTCAGGCAAGATCACTTGGATGCACAAAGCTGCAAAGATGCAGCCTCCTTCTCCTCCTCATCAGAGACCCAATCCACCCATTTTGATTGAAACAATAAATGGAGCCAAACAGGACCACCCAGGCTATACATTTCTCACTGTTAATTCCTTCCCAACACACTCTCATAATAAACAAAGGTCCGATTTAGCTAAATGGGTCTGACTCCAAAATGGCAGTGCACACAATCACAAGCATGATCAGTCACAGACTCCTTCTGGCAGAGTGGCTGGCTCCTGCAGTAAAAGATATTCACAGTCCTCCCAATTTACAGAAGGATGAGAATGTATAGAGGGAAATGCAGGATATGAATGCAAAACAATATTACGCAGAACCAAACTGTGTGCCACAAACAATGTTAAAAGAACAGCATGCGTGTCAACCCAGGGCTCCCTTCTGGGCTGCAGAGGCCTTTCCTGAGGGCCAGGGCTGATGTGCGTAAGTGGCGGCAAGCGACTTCAGAAGAAGTGGGCCAGTGGCGGCCACGCAGGCTCCTTCTGGACAGGGCTGTTGATGCCGCTGCTGCGAGGCGAGGCAAGTGTTGGGGCGTGGGAAGCCTGGCTGCAGGGGCCCTGAGGTAAGCAGATGCGGGGAGCGTGGGGCAGGTCCATTTCTCCCCCGTCTGCCTCATCTCACCTCGTGGCGGTGGCACTGAAAACAACCAGAAGGAATGCATGGGCAGCCAGCTGCGCAGGCTCTTTACTAGGGCTTATTTTGGGGGTATGGCTTATATTAGGCACAAACATAAAAATCAAGCTAGGGTTTATTTTCAGGATAGGTCTTATTTTGGGGAAAACATGGTATTTGCAGGGGGGGGAGCAAAAAGGACTTCTCTACCATTTGACAGAATCTTGTGGTGGGTCCGTCTTCTGCTGATTCAGCAAATTCAGTCCATGGCAGTTTCTCTTGTGTGCAGAAAGCAAACGGCATGGCTGGTGAAACAGCATAAAAAGAAATGAGCACCAACTTTGCTCTGGTTAAACAAAACAGCTTTTAACCTGGTCAGGAAGCCTGTAAATATTGACTGACTTGCTCTCTGCCACTAATGCAATCATCTCTGCAAAGATGGAAATCTAAACCAGGTGAGCGGGGTTGACTTTGCTGTTTTATGTTCCTTAAAATCAAGGTCAAGTATTTGCAAAATAGTCTTTCATTTTATTTTAAAACTCAAGCTCTTAACAGAAAATATTACAACAAATTTCAGAGGAATACTGATGTGGGTCTTATATCAGGCCAAGCTATTTCCCCCCCCCCCCAATCCAGGCTGTTCTCTACTGAAGTCAATCAGGATCGATCGATCGATCGATCTCTCTCTCTCTCTCCCTCTCTCCCTCCCTCCCTCCCTCCCTACCTACCTACCTATCATCAATTTTTGGCAAATCCTGCCAAAAAAACCAGTCCCACCAAGCCCTCCCCCCTCCCCTGTCACTGCCTCTCCTCTGCCCACAAGAATGGAGGGGGGAGAGCTTCAAGAAGACCCTCCTCCACCTCAGGGACTCTCTCATCCTGGGCAGTCACCTCACCTCTCCAGAAGGAGCAGCGCCCCCCTCACCCGCCAGGCCCCTCCCTCAGGGGTCTGGCCAGGAGCTGCAACCCAGGAGGAATTTATGATTTTGCCCAGTCCGAGAATCTCTCCCCCCCCCCCGCCTCTTCCTCCTTTTTCTGGTCCTGCCTCTGACTGGTCTTTTAGCTTTGCCTTCTGGCCGTCTCCTCTCCACTTCATCTTCATCCAAGATGGCTTATGCCATAATAAATATATTTTCCTTCACAGGGTTATTTTGCAGCACAATGAAACCTACCCAGCAAGGTTATTTCATGCCACTCCCTCCCCATGGATGCTAGCTCAGTGCAGCCCTTCCACTCCAGACCTCCCCATAAGACCAACGTTTGTCTGGTTAATGAATTATTCTATAAATCCGAGCTTGGAGACCACTTGCGACTTACTCCAAGCCTCTTGGAAACAGATCACATTTACTCCACATATTTCAGCCACTTCCACAATCTCTTGTATGCGTCTGTGCAGTGCAGCTACCTAGGCAGAAGCAGCATTGAAGGTCAAAGCAACATAAAGTGTTAATAAATTACTATTATACTCCTCCCCTCCCCCAAACACAGGTAAATGCCAAGTGAGGAAAGGGGTCGATGCCCAAGGATTGCGAAAGAGGCTTTTTAGTGAGTTCCATACTAAACGTTTCTTAAAAGATGTAAAGGAGCATCTCCTCTCCCTCTTTGAGAGAACAAGAGCCAGCAGTTATTTGGAGAATAAGACTAATAATGTTTAACTTTTAAGCCCAGCAAAAGGGACAGCATGCCCCCCCCCCATGCCAAAGGGGCCATTAGACATCCTGGAATCACGAGCAGCTTCTGCTTCTGCTCCCCAAGGAGGACTTCCTTTGCACTGGCTGAAACAAGGAACACTAGCTGGACACTTTGCCCACTTCAAGCCAATGCTCAGAGCCAGGGGGGCATCCCTGTGGCCATAGGACCTTCACACCCCAAAGTCACACACATGCCCAGAGCTTGAGTAATGAAAAGGTTGTCAAAAGAGGACAGAAAAGATGACAGCCATCACTTTGAATTGTGTACTTCATCAAAATGACTTTTGTATAATTTATTACAATGAAGACAATTGTATGATTTACAACAGTGACAGGCAGCCAAACCTTGCTTGTGGCCTTGTGAAGGAGACATCCTTTGTGGACTGTATCTGAGGATCTCTACCTGCAGCCTCATTGTCCTAGACCTAGAGCCCACCCCAAAATCATCTCACTACCCTTCCTCTGAACTTGCAAAACGAGGAGCTGGCAGCAGCTGCCCCACCCGATAAAACACGCGGAGGGTGCGGCAGGCAGAATTTTCACCTCCCGGCCACTACACATCCATGTCCCCACCAAGCCCTCTGTGGTTTCCATCTGTCCCAATGTGCTGGTTCCACATGTCCCTTCCAGGGTCCAAGGGCCCCTGCAGACGAACAGTGAATGCCAAGTCTGCAATGAGAACCTCCGCAGCCCCTACCTGCTCAGCGACAGGCGCGTCTGTGGCCAGAGGAATCTTGTTCTGGACCAGCCCCACTCGGACCAGGCATGGTTGCCGCAGCTGCTCTGGTGCCGCCTCGAACTTGTGGCCCTGCAGCTCAAAGTCCCTCTCTGCAGCAGCCGAGAGAGCCTCCTTGGGCAGATCCAGTGGCCTGAAATAAATTGAAGAAAAGGAAGGAAGCCTCTCTTTTTTTTCTGCAATTGCCAAAATAATAAAGGCATCTTCAGACTTTTTATATCCAAATGAAATGTGGAAAACATGCTAATTGGGCAGAAAAGTAAAAGAATGCCAGTAAGTAAACACGGGATCTAAAATGTCACGGAGGTTAGCTTTTCAATGTACCCATAACTATGTATAAAGTTGGGACAGATGATACCTCACACATGAAAAGAACTTCTAAAAGTCTCCCTGAAGCTTTGTGTGAGCACTTTTTATTCACTTGAAAACCACAACTGACTTTTGAGGGGGACACCAGGCACAATCTCCAGGGTGAGCACAGCCAGAACCAAATCTTTACTTCCTCTCCTTTATTTTTAATGCACACAAAGTGAACCCGGCGATTAATAGCTGAACCCTAATCCCTGGACAATCCCAGGGGGGGGGAGGCTGCATGTGCCAGGTGCTGCACCTCCACCTCCTCCCAGCGCTTGGAAGGGAGAGGGCTCCCAACGGCAGGTCGGTGGGGGGGGGGAGGCAGCTGGAAATTCCATGGAAATCCCCCTTCCATCAGGCGGGGGATCAGGGCCGGCTCGGTGCAGCGCCAGAAGCCCAGCCCAGGAAGGCAGGGGAGCCTCTGGCGGGGCCTTTCCTCGAGGGGGGGGACCCGGCCAAGGGCTCCTGCAGGCGAGACCCCCCGCGGCTGGGTGGGGCTCAGGTGGGCCGGCTGGAAGGCCAGTCCAGGCTGCGACCCTCCCCTCCCCTCCCTCCGCCGTTGCCAGGGCCCGGCGCAGGTCTCGGGCCCGGCGGGGCACGCTCGGAGTGGGGCCAAGTGGCAGAGGGGCCCCGCCGGGAGGGGAGGCCGCCCAGGCTCTCCCGGCGCACCTGAGGGGCTCCCCGAGGAGGAGCCGCTTCGCCTCGGCCAGCTCGGCGGCGGGCAGGTGCCGCTCCAGGCAGCGCTCCAGCGAGTCCAGCCGCACCGCCATCGCCGCAGCTCCGCTCTGCCCGGACGGCGCGGCTGCCGTGCGCGGGAGGCGGGCGCCGGTTAACCATTAAGCCAGCCTCGCCGCTCTTTAACCCGCGGGAGGCGCCCGGGTGCAGCCGCGGCCGCCTCTGGCCACGCGTGGGCAGCCCCCTCTCCTGCGCCGCCCCGGCCGCTCTTTCGCGGGAGGCTCTCCGGGCCCCGAAGACTGGATCCCACCGGGCGGGGGGGCCGAGCTCCGCGTGCAGCCATGGGCGGAGCTGGGAGGGGCGCCAACCCATCTGAGAGCCGCGGGAGCGACCGGGCCCCAACTCCCCGGCTCCTGTCCTGCCTCTCCCTGCCCCGTCCCGAGTCCCCCAGAAAGCGCTTGGTGGGAATCAGCCCTGGGGAGAGCGATGCGGGGCCCCCCCCACCAGAGGGCAGACCTGCTTCCCCCGTTCACTGAGACGCCTCTTCTGGTCGGGGCTGATCTCCAGCCGCCCCCCCTCCTCATCCCGCGTGGGGAGCCGCGCCGGTGTGTGCGTGGCGACACAGGGCGGGAGGGGCCGATGCAGAGGCCGCTGGTTTTGTTCCCCCGCCCCACTTTTGAATTCAGCAGCAGGCTGGAAGTCTCATCCCTGACGGGGCCTCGAAGAGGGATGGGCAGAGTGCGCAGGAGTTTTATTTCACCTGTTGTGGTGCACGTCTGGCGACCAAGCGCTGCCTTCCCCCGTTGCTGAGGTCCAAGCGAGTCTGGGGGTCCCACCAGCCCCTCCGTACCAGCAGTCATCTGGCTTCCCTGCCAGCCCATTTCCCAGTTCTCTCTGACTGGATGGGAGCCTAGACCTGCAATTTAATTGCCCTCAGTGGGACCGATTGTTCCATGGGCTTTGTGTTGTGGAGGCTGGACACAGGCCCCGCCCATCCGACCCCCGCCCTGGGAAAACGGAGGCTTTCCATCCCAAGAGAGAAGGTGCTCCCAGCCAGGAGGGCTCGCTGCTCAGAGAGAAGCTGCAAGCACCCCACTCCGAAACTCCACTTAAGGGGGTCAATCAATGAATCAATCAGAATAGAGCTGGAAGGGACCTTGGAGGTCTTCTAGTCCAACCCCCTGCTCAAGCAGGAGACCCTATATCCAGTGGTGGGATTCAAATGGTGAACAACCAGTTCTCTGTGTGGATGCCACTTCCAGAAGCCCATTCCGGTCCTGGGCAACAAAAAATTAGCTACCGGTTCTGCTGAAGTGGTGCGAACCGGCTGAATCCCACCACTGCTGTCCAGTCCCTTCTTAAAAACCTCCAGCGATGAAGCATCCACAAGCTGTTCCACTGGTTATTCATTTTCAAAGTTAGGAAGTTTTTTCTAAATTCCAGGTTACTTTTCTCTATTGCTTCTTGTTCTGCCTTCTGGTGCTTTGGAAAATAAGTTGACCCCGTCTTTTTTGTGGCAGCCCCTCAAATACTGGAAGACTGCTCTCATGTCCCCCCTAGTCCTTCTTTTCTCTAGACTAGTTATACCCATTTCCTGCAACTGTTCTTATGTTTTTGTCTCCAGGCCTTTAATCCTGTTGGTTGCTCTTTTTATGTGTAAGCACAGCCAGCTGGGTCCAGCCGTACCCTTTTTTAGGCCCAGACTGTGTGGGCCTGGTCCCAGGATGGCTTCCAGCTCTGGTTGATTCTGCTGCGGGAGTCATGCTCCCTCTATCCATGCAGGCTTCGGGGCTCCAGGAAGCGGCCTGGCCTTGTTTTGGTGTCCATCTCCTCAAGGAGGTTGCCTAGCTGAACGTTTGCTTTTCTATTCTTAGCCTGAACTTTCAGCATTCCACACACACACACACACTCCATGGCTTGTTTGTTTGCAAAGCCGTCTTGGCCAAACTCTGTACGTGCCCAAGGAGCTGACTTGGGAGTGGCTGGGATGAAGATTGGAAAGCTGATCCCACAAAAGGAAAGCTAACTTGAAAAAAGAACTTTCTTTTCATGTCAGCGTTGACTCCCAAGAATTACAGCAGCTTAACTCAGTGGAGAAGGAAGCCCTTTTGCTTGCAGGGTATAACGCAAACAGAAAACTCTGCTCGGTGCACATGAAAAACTGATGGGGTGTCAATTTTACCATTGTAGCCACCATCTTCACTAAACTGATCACAACCTACTACTGTTGGTACTACCCTTGCTTGCTTTTGGCACAATCTTTCTACTTTTATTTTTATTATTATCATTATTATGGCATGCTGAGTTTTGCTTTGAAATGGGATGGAAACGGCTGAGTTAATCGTAGGTTTGTATTAATTTTTGTTATAATTCGGGCAAGGCAAGCACAGGAGGTGTATGCTTTAAATGCATCACAATTCCTTCAGTCCTTGTGCAATGCTACTGTCTTCTGATCCCCTTTTAAAAAAATAAATCTGATAGCCAAGCTGAATCTCCCTTCACCAGCCCCCCTCCCCCCATCACCCTTCCTTGCACTGTTTTTACCAAAGAAAAAGAGAACAGATACCTAAGGGTCAGTTTCCCAGGTGGGACGTGTCTTTGGTGGCCTTAAGAAACATAGCCTGGAGATAATTGCAAGGAAGCCGGGATTTAGGCCCACCTGGGAAAATGAGTGGTCAGTGCTTTCCTTAAAGGGCTCAAGTCACCTTTCTTTTCCCCACTTCTGGAGCAAGAACCTCTCCCTTTGGCAAGAGACGCAAAGTATGCATCCAGACGTGCTCCAGAGCAAAACCTGAGGCTCTCAGACCTGGGCACCCTCAGTTGGGGACGAGGCCTCCGGTGCTGCCACTGCGTTTGCCACTGGCAATTTTCTCTGCAATCAGTGCTGGCCTTGGAAACTGGTTTTCAGGGGACAATCCTGTGTGGGTGGGATTTTGGGGTGATGATTTGGGAAAAACGAGCCAGACTATTCCAATTATATTTGAAGAAAAGTAAGCAAGAACCTCATCAAAGTAAGGTGTGCTTAGTTTTTGGTTGCATCATGTGTGACTCAGTTTGAGGGAGAGAAAAGAGGTGAGAAAGAAAATTTTCCACATGGAAGCTTAATCTTTTCTTTAAAGCCTGAGCTGTGGATGTGTCCCATCAGATCTATTTATTTATTTATTTTGAGTTACGCTTGAGCTCCACCTTTTTGTATCCTTTTATTGCTTCTCTAGACTGGAATGACCAGAATAAGTCTGAACATCCCCTTTTGCTTCTCCCCCTCTTTTTTTTATTAATATATTCTTTATTAAAAATTTTTTTTAAAGTTTTTACAAAAAGGAAAAAACACAACAACAACAAAAAAACAACCCTCACCCACCCACCCCAAACCACCCCCAACCCCCCCCGACCTTCCCAGAGCTGGATGTAGGCTTAATTAAAATTTTTAAGAATCTTAAAGAAATTGAAAAAATATAAATCATAGGTATATCTAAATATCTTACATAAACAACTTATAAAATGATTTACAAAAAAATATATATAAGAAAAAAGCATGAGTATATAAAAAATAAAAAAGTACTTCAAAGAAAAAAAGGTAATAAAAAAAAGAAAAAAGAAGGAAGAAAAGAGATTTTAAAAAGAGTACAATCTATAAAATATGAAAATTTATATACAAATTATTAAAAAGCTAAATGGTATTTTTTTATATCCAATTTATATTGTATGAAATTTATCCATTTTTCCCATACGGCAAAAAACTTCTCTTGCGATTGCTCCTTTAAGAAAGCCGAAATCTTTGCCATTTCCGCCAGATAAGAAACTTTAAAAAACCACTCTTGCAAAGTAGGCAAAGATTCCTTCTTCCAGTATTGCCCCACTAACAGCCTTGCGGCTGTAATCAAATTTAACATCAATATAACCTCCTTAGCATCACAATAACAATACCTAACAAAAACAATTGTGGAGTAAATTTTACCCTCTTTCTAAAAATTCTTTGAATATTCCACCATATCTTAATCCAAAAAGCTTTTATATTTTTACACGACCACCAAATATGATAATAAGTGGCGTCCAAACAACCACATCTCCAACATTTAGGCTGTAAGTCAGGATACATAAGAGACATTTTTTGTGGATCAAGGTGCCATCTATAAAACATTTTATAAAAATTCTCCCTTAAGTTCTGGGCTTGTGTAAATTTAACATTCCTCACCCAAATAGTTTCCCAGGTATCCAGTAGAACTGGTTCACCAAAATTTTGTGCCCATTTAATCATACAATCTTTGATTAATTCTGATTCTGAGTCCAGTTCCACTAGAACCCCATAAATTCTCTTGATATGAGTTGGCCTTTGATCCTTTACTTGTTTAACAAAATTTTCATCTTCTCTAAGCAAGCCCATGTTACGATCCATCTTCCATCTATCCACTATTTGTCTGTACTGAAACCATGAATAAATAATATTTTCTTGTACTAATTCTTCCAAAAATTTTAACTGCCAATTTTGACCATCCCATCTAAGTAATTGTGTATAAGAAACCCTATCCATCTTAACTCCTCTCCTTATCCCCTCTATCGCATGCCCGGGTATAGCCCATAATGGTATTTTAAAATCACTTTTACAATATTTCCTCCAAACCCGAAGTAGAGAAATCCTTATAATATGAGATTTAAAAACCCGGTCCACTTTTTTATTAAAAATTAAATAGGCATGCCATCCAAAAAGTAAATCCCAACCCTCCAGATGGAGTATTTCTACATTTGTTAAATTAACCCAATCACTAATTAGTGTTAAAGCCACAGCATCATAATATAATTTCAGATTCGGTACCTTGAGTCCACCTCTCTCACGGAAATCTTGCATAATTTTAAGCTTTACCCTTGGTTTTTTCCCTGCCCAAATAAATTTGTTAATGCCTTTCTGCCATTCATTTAAATTAACCTCATTCTTTAAAATAGGTAGCATTTGAAATAAAAAGAGAAATTTTGGCAGGACATTCATTTTAATCACTGCAATTCTTCCCATAAGAGATAACTGTAACTTCTCCCAATTCTTCGCTTCTCCCCCTCTTTTAAGTAAGAGAATAGTGACATTTTATCTCTCTCTCTGCCCCTTTTACGGCTGTTGTGATGCAACTCTTCATGTTGGCTCCGGATCAAAGGATCAGGGATGAAGCTTCTCCGAAGCCAGGACTTGGGCCACGGAGGCTCAGAGTGTTCCTCCCCCAGGAGGGAAGTCTATTCTGAGCCTGAAGTTCTGTTCTGAGTCACCCCACTCTTCTTTGGGAACGTGACCTCCCCAGAGCCCCATATCCACATCTAATTATTGGGCGTG